TCACATATCCTTCATTTGGTTATTCACCGGCTCTGGAAAGTATGTGCTATTTTGATCTCCCCTTTGAGATATATTAGGCTTCGTGCTGGTGAAAATCGGCCAGTCTAAAAATGTACAACACCGGATGGAAAGGCTGTAGTTTGGCCAAGAAGAGGGAAACATACAGTAACCGTCTACTGGGGGAAAAAGATAGCATGTCTCACAGGACACAGGCCAGCATACAGTATGTGGGTGGGATTTTCCACTTAAAATGCATGTGTAATATACGGTGTGTGCTCATCTAACGCACAAGAGCTCCACTGTGCATTAAAGGGGCTGTCAGCACAATCAAATAGAGCTTGGCATCGCAGTCCATGAAATGAATGTGGATGTAATGTTCCAAGGAGCCTTAAAGGTGATTTATAGGAGAGTCTCACATTGTCACAAGGCAGTGGAAACAGGTTCAAGAAGTTAAGGTCACATATTGAGTCTCTCAGAGGGTGTGGAGAGTGAGTGGCGTTCATTAGTCACTGATCAAACAGAGCCTGAAGGAAACGGGGTAGACATGGAGGAACATTTGTGAAGCAGGAGGGTTTTGGGTTCGATCCACATGGAGCAGACTGTTGATTTTTAGTAAAAAAACATTCCTCTCATGTGAGAAAAGTGTTTGTAAAGTCGAGTCAAAGTGCTAATTATGTGCATCTGCAAGCGTTCAAACAGCGCCGACGTGTCAGGCCATCGGAAAAGTTTACCTTTACGTGGTTTTTTTCGTTGAAGTGCTGGCACATGCACTCTGTAACCGCACTGTAACTTCATTATTTGAACCGTCAGAGAAACCCTTAAAGGTTATTGACGGCCCCCCCGAGACCCCTGAATAACGCTGAGCTCATTTTGTTTGGTTCCTCCAGGTGCTAACATCCTGAGAGACTCGACAGGGAACGTGAAGCTGGGAGACTTCGGAGCCAGCAAACGTATCCAGACCATCTGCATGTCAGGCACAGGGATCAAGTCCGTCACCGGCACCCCCTACTGGATGAGCCCCGAAGTCATCAATGGGGAGGGATATGGCCGGAAAGCTGATGTGTGGTAAGGAATGAACATCAGATGAGACTGTTTATGTACTTATTGGGATACAAATAGTCATTTTTTGGGGTGAAATATGACTTTAAATGACATATAAGTCGCATAAGTAGCTCAGTCTGTAGGGACTTGGCTTGGGAGTCCTGATTGGACCATAACTGTTGATTAACTAATGCCTGATTGAAAGTTGTAGATGTTAGACAGATATTTTTTATTTAGTTATACTATTCACAGATCTTATTTGTATTTGTGAAATATGTTTCCAGATCTTTTTTTGTGAGTTTACAATTTTGCATTCGTGGAAGGTGCTTCAGATTTAAAGATGACATATTTACACACGGATTATTGATCTGTTTACACAAATAATATTGAGACAAATCTACCTCCATACCTTGGAAGTAAATGCATTTGAAAATATTAAAAAAATACGTCTTATTCTTAACCTCATTTTAATTCATTTCTTATTTTATAGTTACTTATTTTTATCTTTGATTTTATCCTTAATTGTATTAATCTATGTGAATCTGTGCTGTCCTGTATTTCATTCTCACCCTGTTGCCGTTAGACTACTGAATTTCCCCACGGAGATTATTAAAGGTCCATCTTATCTTATCTTATCTTATCTTATGTCCTCTGTCCTCAGGAGTGTTGCCTGCACCGTGGTGGAGATGTTGACTCAGAAACCTCCGTGGGCCGAGTACGAGGCCATGGCGGCAATTTTTAAAATCGCCACGCAGCCTACGAAGCCCATCCTTCCCGACTCGGTGTCGGACGCTGCGCGGGACTTCCTGAGGCAGGTGTTCGTGGAGGAGAAGTGGCGGCCGACTGCGGACGTTCTGCTCAGCCACCCGTTCGTTCAGGGCTGTTTCTGAGGACCCTCACCCCTTCTCTCCCCTCCTCTCCTCTCCGGGCCTCCCCCTCCAACTTCCTGCCCGGAAATCTATCACCAGTGTCTGCCTTGCCAGGAACGCTGCATCCCTCAGCAACTACACTGAAAAAACTGAAACGTTGACTTTAATTAAATGTGTTATGTCAACAGATTTCACATAACTGTAGTAGGTTAGTTGAAAGCAATAGTATTACGTTTAAATATAAAATATCAAGTTCAACATAATAATAGATAGATAGATAGATAGACACTTTATTGAAGTAGTAGAAACTTATATACATAGAATAGTATATAAATGACAGATGTAGGTAGCTGTTGTGCAAATGGTTGTAGAGTGGGAGAAACTGAAACTACAGAGCAGAAATTATTATTTGTATTATTGCTTTCAACTAACCTAATACAATTATGTGTAATCTGTTGACAAAATACATTTATTTAGAGTAAGCATTTCAGTTTTTTCAGTGTGGATGAAGCCTGATTCGTCACCAAGAGGCCAGGTCGATGTCGAGTGTTGCCCCAAGAGTGGAACAACGAGAAAGCACTTAGTGGCTTCACAAGCTACTGACTGAAAGAGCAGGAAACGTGACCCAAGAGCAGTGACGCCTCAAGATTTGGGGGATTTTTACTAATTTACTGCCGCAGAACAATGTCCAGGTTCAGCCTGACAGTAATGTCGACCACATCGGATAGTAGTGGAAGTCAGTGGTTCCCAACCGGGGGTACAGGGGGATATGTAGAAAGATTATGGATTGCAATTCATTCCCACACAAAAAACACTTTTATATCAATTTTCATAAGTCTGGTATAAGTGTTTTAATAAAAGACTGATAGTGGGAAGTGAGTTTCAATATCATCTTTTCAGCTAAAATAACTCTAAATGTCAAGGGTGAGTTACAGAAGGGATTTTCATTTCATGAGCAGTTGGGTTGAATTCAATTACAAAGGGTTTAATACAAGAAAAATGTAGGCGACGATCACAGATGAGTGAGGGGGAAAAGGTTGGGAACCCCTGCTGTGAGTTACTCATCAGCTGTGTGTAGAGATGGTAGAATATATTTTATATGACATACAATACAAAGTTTTCTATCGTCACCTGAAAAAATGTAAATGTATTTTTGTCAACGCCTTACAATAAGAGTTTGTAAGTAAGAATGTCTTTTTTTCACGGCACTCAGAAACCCCCCCCCCCCCCCCCCGTTTTTAGAATGGATTGTGCACTTTTGATATCATGCATTGAAACATTTCCAACGTGCAGGATAATCAACGGAGATATTTTTCTATTTGAAGCATTTTTTTTTATATCATTGAGAATTGTTGTGTCAAGAAAAAAAGAACCAAACTTTTTGCATCAGTGTCTAATAAGCAATACCAGCTGTACTGTTGGAGTCATTCCAGCTTCCCGTGCAGTGAGCCTTGAGTCCATTGGAGAAACAGTAGCCAAAGAAAAAGTGTCAGAAACTTTGGGCTATGTTCATGTTCAGTATTAGTCATTATGGATCGATTTCTCACCTCAGAGCCCTATACGCCTTTTCTATGTTACGGCAGCTTGGTGCACAGTAGTCTGCACAGACCAAATCACATTGTATCAGTATGAAAATAAATTCAATTTTTTAGTTCAGTATGAATCCAGTCACCCCATGCCTTTACTTTGATTTAATGACCACTTGACGCGACACCTCACTCTCCAATAATACCGCCAAAAAGGGGTCAAGTTGGAAATCCAGAGCTAAATGCTGTCATCTTTAAAATGGAGGTGTAGTGATACGGTGGCACTTAAGGAATGATCAAATCTTTTTTCGACCCTTGTCAGTGCCTTATCTGAATCTGCTTGTAAACACTTAATGTTCACTGCCAAAGCAGAGAGGTTTTTTTTTTTATAAGTTGAGCAAAAGAGAGCACACACAGGATTTGCTGAACTTCTTTTATATGAAAAAAAGATTATACTGTAAATACATATTGTTCTGCACTTTTGTATGAAATTTCTTTACATTCTATACAAATCTATTTGATGACATAGCTACGTTATACAGTAGGTTGTACTGTGATTTAGACGGGAGTGTCTCTTTGAGAGCTGGCAGTAGGCAGTGAGACGGCTGGAGGCTTTCGATTGGGACAGTACATTTTGTCTTGATGACGAAGCCTTGAAACATGAAATGTATCAAGTCATTGATCTTTTGTACATTTAACTTAATAAATCCAAGGTCTAAGACTATTTCCCTGTGTACTGTTGTTTGGTTTTTTAATCACAATGTTCTTATAATTATCATTCATACATGTATATTTCTTTCTCAGAGCTAATATCTATATTTGCACCACATGTATATGCTATTGTCATATTATAGGCTACTGTACCTAGTTTTTATATGTGTAATATTTAATGTTATCATAGGTTTTTTTTAACTAGTGTTTTGATTTTCCTCCCACAAAAGCTAATTCTTGATCCTTTTGTGTTTCTACTTCGTTTAAATCATAGCTCAAAAGCTGACAAAGTGAGAGAAATATGCTTTAAAAACACTTTTGCAGTCACATTTTCGGGCTTTTTAATTTAGTTTCATAGGGACAACTATCATTAAAATATTTGTAAATGGATTGGTTTGAAATGATACACTCAGTGGCCACATTTACACAATCTAATGCAATCCACTGCCTTTCCATTAATTGTGTTTCTTATTCCCTCCTTTGTGTATGAAAAGTATAAATACAGTTACAAATAATATCAAGCAGAAGCGACAAGCAAAAGTCCTGCATTAAAGTGTGTTGTTTTCATGTTTTCTTCTATGAATTGTACCTTGTAAAATGTCTAAAAAGTGCTCTATAAATAATATGTAACCATTACACTTAACTTGTGCAAAAAGCTGTTTAATATATTTCCACTCATAATCTAGATGTATTAATGTAGGCTATTTGAGTAAAAAAGGGTGCATTATTCGGTTGTGAGAGCAACAATTTAGGGGAAAATGTGTTGGTGTTTTCTTTACTATCCTCTTTTATTCCTGAGCAGCTGTTGAACAACCAGCTTATAAAACCTGGCGTTTTGTAACGACCTGACAGATACGTGTCACACGGAGCCCCGACACACCGGGAGGAGCTGCTCTCTCACACCAAGCACTGCTGGGTCTAATACTACTATTTAGCAACATTAATATACAACTATGTCTACCTCCCGTACAATCATATGTTTACTGAGAAACGACTTGCGTCTGCACGACAACGAGGTGAGTCTGAATCTGTACCGAGTCTTTTATTATGAAATTCGTCATTTAACTTTAAAGAACCTAATGTTGTTTGACTTAAAAGTAACGTGTGAACATGTCTGTTGCCTAAAATCCTTTCTTTAAAGCACATATTAAACATATTATGTAGTAGGCTATGTTTTATGTTAGCAGAAAGCTAATTTTGTTTCGCCAGCAGCAACAACAACGCCACTTCCGGCCTTCCTTCAGAATAAAAGCCTCTTCTTCAAAATAAAAAGACCAGAAGTTTTGAATTAGGAACAAAAGTTGCTTATATTACATGTCTGAATATTCTCCACGAACTTCCTTTTGTATCCGCCTTTAATAAGTCAGTAATTGTATGTCTAGCTATCAATACAAAAACCACAGACGTACTGGAGACTGTACTACATCCGGTGGCATATTTCAAAATAAAAGACCGCCTTCCCAAATATAGAAAAGGAAAAATTATTTTTCTTATTTTTAGTGTCCTTCAAATAAAATATAAGGTAAGGTGTTTTCAAAACTTGCTAGCAGAGTTTAGTTTCCTCTCACAATGAACTTAAAGATGCCATTTTTGTACACACATCAATTGAAATGTGCTTGCTGTAATCATGCAATTATCCCTTTTTCTAATAGAGGATGATATAATAACCTACACTATTTACTCTCTACTTACAGCTTTTCCACTGGGCTCAAAGAAATGCAGATCACATCGTCCCGCTGTACTGCTTCGACCCCAGACATTATGTGGGAACGTATAACTACAACCTGCCAAAGACTGGGCCTTTCCGCCTGCGCTTCCTATTCGACAGCATCAGGGACCTCAGGCACACGTTACTCCACAAGGGCAGGTAACTAAACAGCTGTTTGTTGACAACATACGTGCATATATAATGCCCTATTTAAATTGCTGACTCCCCAGAGTTCAGCTGTGTCCTTGTAATATCAGTAACGACCTATAATCTAATTACAAGACTCATGAATGTAATTATCACGATGTTGTTACACAAATACTCGGTACAGACCTTGTCCTCAGCTTTCTAGGATTCAGCTGGAACAGGATCAGGACACAGCTGAGCTTATAGAGGGTTGTGTTTATGTTAACACGGTGCTGCACACACTGTTCCTGTCATTTCTCAGGTCATCCAGCGGGAAGTTAGTCGATTTCTAATCAGGATGCAGCTTGCCTGGCATGGTGGCTTATATTTCTGTGTGTGTGTGTGTGTGTGTGTGTGTGTGTGTGTGTGTGTTTCTGTGTGACAGCAACCTGGTGGTGAGACGAGGGAAACCAGAGGAGGTAGTCGCGGACCTCATAAAGCAACTGGGCTCCGTCAGTACCGTGGTTTTCCATGAAGAGGTAGTTTTAACTGGTTTCTCTTAATGTAATCTTTATTGCCTCGTGGTGATTTGGACAGTTTTTGTTGTGTTCCAGGTGAGTTCGGAGGAACTGAATGTGGAGAAACGAGTGAAGGATGTCTGTGCACAGATGAAGGTCAAAGTTCACACCTGCTGGGGGTCCACACTGTACCACAGAGACGATCTTCCATTTAACAACATATCCAGGTGAGAGGATATGGCTCTCTCCAGAACAATGTCCTTTTGTTGATCGGGGCAAACTTGGTGAGGCTGCCTGATGTGTAGGTGAGAGGATATGGCTTGCTTCGGTTAAAGCATCCAAGTTGGCATACCGTCCTGTTGTTGATTGTGGCAATTTTATTAGGGATGTAGATTAGGAAATGTGTACAAAAAAAAGTCTCATAAAAAAAAGTGAGATAATCTTTTCTTTCAAGCAGGTTCCTCCAACAATGTAACATGCACATATGTATAAAAGGCATAATCAATGAGCCTAACATGTCTCCTTTAAAAATGTGTTGTCAATATTATAATTTTTTAGGCTGCCTGATGTGTACACTCAGTTCAGGAAGGCGGTGGAGAGCCAGAGCCAAGTGAGACCCCTGATCCCAACACCTGAGCAGCTGAAGCCCCTTCCCCAGGGGCTGGAGGAAGGAGGCATCCCCACAGCAGAAGACCTGGAACAAACAGGTAACAGCTCCTAAAAGTATATGGATTCATTCATAATGAAAAGATACGACTTTATTTATCCCAAAGGAAATTGTTGTGCCAGAGTTAAAAAAATACAATAAACACAGCAGCATGATAGAAAAACTGTACACCAACAGGGCAGTAAAAAGAGCAATTAAATATCTACAGGACACAGACGGTCACTTAATTAATGTAAATATTAACAGTATTTAGTAGTGCAAAAAAACGTAGTGGCAGATACGTAAATGCACGTTATCATAGCACATTATTAATAATAATAATATTGCACATGTTATATAGCAGCGAGTGTTTTGTAATGATGGTAATGATATTTATATTGCACATAGTGTTCCATACTACATGAATCAAACAGAAAATCATGCACTTTGTGTCTTACATGTCTACGAGTATCACTAAGTCACATTCTTTTGCTTTTATTAGATGGATGTTTATGGTAATGTCTGTGCATGCTGCTGGCAATAATGGAATAAATATTGCTCATTTCATGCAGCCCCATTAAGTAAATCCACACGCTGCTACTTACAGAATTCAAAAGGCAGACCGCTGAGCGTAGACCTCCTCAGTAACTGCTAGCAGCAGCAGAGTGGCTCAATTTTCATGTATATGATTAAGCTTTTTACGATTCTGCTGGTCTTAATGCACCAGGGGGAGAGTTTAACGTGTTGAATATCAGTGGGATGCTAAAATGCTTCCCTTGTTTTATTCTTCCAGAGCCTGTGACTGATCCCCGATCAGCCTTCCCCTGCACTGGAGGAGAAAGTCAAGCTTTGGCCAGACTTAAACACTATTTCTGGGACACTGTGAGTACATCTTCTGTAACAACCAGACATATTAATGTAGTTTCTACTATGCACTGTAGCTGTAATAAATATATGGTTTGCAGAACGCAGTTGCAACCTACAAGGAGACTCGTAACGGCCTGATAGGTGTGGATTATTCCACTAAATTTTCATCATGGTGAGTGTTTTTGTATCATGTTTTTTCTGACTAATGTTCCATTCCTATAAATATATCACTGACGGTGCATCTCTGGCATTCTGCAGGCTGGCGTTGGGTTGCATTTCACCCAGGTACATCTATCATCAGATCCAGCAGTATGAGAAGGAGCGGACAGCCAATCAGAGCACATACTGGTGAGCACACACTCAGATAAGTTGTAATAAAATCCATTCCATCAGAGGGTGCAACATGGTTACAAATGTGTCCTCGCTGCTGTCTTTCAGGGTCATTTTTGAACTTTTGTGGAGGGATTACTTCAAGTTAGTTGGCGTCAAGTACGGGAACAGACTGTTTCAGATCAAAGGTAAAATGCTCAAGGTAATTTCTTTTTACATTTATACAGTATGAATGGATATTGAACTCATGATAATTGTATTCCAGGCCTTCAAGAAAAATCTGTTCCATGGAAAAAGGACATGAAGCTTTTCGATGCATGGAAAGGTTTGTGGCATTTTTCCCTCACTATTTAAGAGATGCATTCAAAATGTATGTATCAGTAAGTGAAATATATGTAATTTGTTCTTACAGAGGGACGCACAGGAGTTCCCTTTGTGGATGCGAACATGAGAGAGTTGGCCATGACGGGCTTCATGTCCAACAGGGGGCGGCAGAATGTTGCCAGCTTCCTCACAAAGGACCTGTGTCTGGACTGGAGGATGGGAGCGGAGTGGTTTGAATACCTGCTGGTAAGTGGCTTTTAAATCAGTATAGAGAAGTCAAACTGTATTTTTAGGATATCAATTATAGGGTGATACTCTGCACTATTTCTATTATATTTAATTGTATTGACTTGCACTATTATCTGTTTTATTGTGTTGCACTGTTGGAGGAGCCTGTGACCTCATCTTTTCGTTGTCATAACTACACTGTAGCTATGTACACATGACAATGTAATGTAATAATGTACTGTAAAAGCCTTGAATCTTGAATCTTGAGGTGTTTTTTAAATGTCCCTCCACAGATTGACCATGATGTCTGCAGTAACTATGGTAACTGGCTCTACAGCGCGGGCATCGGAAACGACCCCCGAGAGAACAGGAAGTTCAACATGATCAAGCAGGGCCTGGACTACGACAACAATGTGTGTTTGAGAAGATCAAAGTCAACTTTATAGTCAATCTTTAAGTTTGCTCGACAGACGGAGAGATCGAAATACCGTTTCCCACAATACCGAATACAAAAAGAAATATATTTAAAAATATGCATGCAAATATATCAAAAGACACATTTATACATATGCACACATTAAGACCTAAATAAAAGCACAACAATCAATATATACAAAATAACAGTCACTTCAATATCTTTGAGAATGTACATTAGTGTAAGACTGTCCGTAGCAGCGTAAAAAATGCATGAATTGTTGGTTTAGTTTTCCATTGACATAACTAAGTGAGGAAAGTTGCAGTGTTTTCAGCCACTGATGGAGTGTTTTTTACCCATGATTTAGGGTGACTATGTGCGGCAGTGGGTTCCTGAGCTGCAGGGCATCATGGGAAGCGACGTGCACACACCCTGGACCCTCAGCACCGCCTCTTTGTCACACGCTGACGTCTCCCTCGGAGAGACCTACCCCACCCCCATCGTCATGGCGCCTGAGTGGAGCCGACATGCTAACAAGAAACCGGTGGGTTTTTGAGAAAAAGGGAAGTGGATAGTGAGAGGAGGAGGAGGAGCTGCTGCTGCAAAGCTTTTTATAACTGATGGAGGGAAAACAAAAGTGTGAGAAAGTACATTTACACTGGTACTTGTTTGTCTTTGTCAGAGGGATATATTGCATTTTTACTTTGACTACACTGCATTTATTTCTATATCTAGCGTCCTTTAAAACGGCAAAATCAACTCAAAATCCATCAGACCACAGGGAGGAAGAATATGGCCACTTTCTGGTTCTAACTGTCATTTTAGAAACTGAAAATATCAGATATGTATTCAGCATCCCTTAAATTACCCCCAAAATCACGCCAATATTTCCCAAATAATATCAAGCCATTTTTTAACTATAGTCTATTTACTGTAGGCTATAATGCTAATTGATGCTAGTTAACGTAACTTATGTTAATGTGCAAATTGTCCAACATATAGAAGCTGTGCTGGGGACCTGTACTATACATTTCTAACATAAAACTTTCTAAAATGTACTTTTACTTTCAATATTTTAGGTACTTTTAGCAGATATTACTTCTTCGTTTTTTAATCGGTAGGATTTCCAATGCATGATTTTCACTCTGATAGAGTTTGAGGAAATGTTGCTTCTTCACTGCCTTCTTTGAAACCATCACTCTACATGTTTTATTCCTATAATTTGCAGAGTGGCGCGGGGTCTTCAGCCAGAGGAAAGAAAGGCCCGTCTCACACTCCCAAACAACACCGTGACAGAGGCATCGATTTCTATTTCTCCAAAAGCAAAAACCTGTGATCCCCTCGCAGTGATCACAGGAGGGAAACTCCAGTGATGCAAACTTGGACTGTTGCTGGAAAAATCTGCGTTCCCTCCTGGGATGTTGCTCGAAAAGTTTTCAGATGAGAGTTTTAGGAAATGCACGTTCCTACTTATGTTTGAGTGCACAGACGTGTCTTATCTACACATATATCGTATCAAGAAGCGCCTTTTATGGCTGTGTGCTTCCTGTTGGACTGCAGTCATAGTGAAAGCAACTCTGTGGTTTTCCTGTAGTCAGTCAGATGATGCTTTTACTGCTATTTCTACATGTGTTTTTTTTTAAGTTGCCCTTTTATGTCTGTTACACAATAAAATTGCAAAATTGAGTTGTTTTTTGTCGTGATTTTGTTGTGTTGACATTGTTGAGTTTTAATAAAAATATTTGTAATGCAATGCTTTATGGGGTTAGTTGTTTGTTAGCCGGCACGCAACTAATGGTGCTTTAACATCCATAACACAAGACTTACAGAAAATATGACATTTAATTCAAGTCTTCATACGTTGTGTTTGTAAAAATATAAGTAACTACATCTTTATTGTAGATTTAGTGGAGTAAAACGTACACAATATTGTTCTTTTGAATTATAGTGTAAGAGTATAAAAGTGGCACAGAAGGAAAAAACTCAAGTAAAGTCTGAGTATTTTAAATATTGACTAAGTACAGTACTTGAGTAAATGTAGGGGAAGGCACAATAGGCAACAGAATGAATACAATTAAAGAAATCCATAGGTTAACAACAGATAAACACATCAGTTAAAGTAAGAAATAATTAAGTAATACAAAATATAAGCAATATAAATAAACATTGAATACAAATAATGACTAATAAAAGGGGGTAGGCCTATTGCAGATTGAAAAGCCATGTTAAAAAGTGTTTTCAGCTGTTTTTTTAAAATGAGTTTGCCTCTCAAATACGTCTTGTTATTGAGCTCCACAGGTTATGAGCGTGTAAGAAAATGCAACTTTCTATAGTTTCTTTTACTGGTTGGTGCCATTTCACTCAGCAACCACCCTCTCTTAAAGGGAATACCGACAGTTAAATCATTTTAATGTACTTTTTAGTGTGTGTGTGTGTGTGTGTGAACAGTGGATCTCCTCCCCGCTGTGACGCAGTGTTCGCATCACTTCCTCGTTCTGTTATCAGGTAGTCTGTCTTTCGCCACAATGTCCTTTATTAGTGTTTAAAAACTCTCCACAAACGTCCCAAAACATGGCGTGCGTGAACTCGGAGGTGGACTTATGGAGCATTCCTCTGGTCGCCCTGAATGTGACAGTGAGGAAGAAGCTGGGTCTGTATCTGAACCCGAAGAACACGGTGGCTGCGGACTGGACCGCTGTAGCGGAGGCCATGGGCTTCTCTTACCTGGAGATAAAGAACCATGAGGCGGCCAGAAGTCCTGCTCAGTCGGTCCTGGAGAACTGGCAGGCCCGGTGCTCAGAGGCCTCCGTGGGGAAGCTGCTGTCCGTCCTGACCGAGGTGGAGAGGAAGGACGTGGTGGAGGACCTGAGACCCCTGATAGGTGAGGAAATGTTGCTAAATGCTTAAGTTGTTGGTGCAATTATGATGCAATGTCATGTAAAAGTTATGCTTGGATGATCTGTTTTCATCGACTCCAGGAAGTGATTCACATGCCTGAAATCCCATATTGCAAAAACGTAATTCTGGTCAATGATAAAAAGTTATACATGTACTCGAAAATAGTTCTGACTGAGGCACTTAAAAATATATTTGCTGTGTCTGATTTGAGTGAGAGCATAGCTGTTTTCTGTTAAAGGACTGAATCATTATATTTTAATTAACTTAAGGCTGTCAGCTGTCAAAATGTGTGGTTAAAAGCTTGTTATTGGTACAATAGACTGCCATGTAATAGGGCTACTTACTGACTAATAGTGTACACAGTGGTGGAAAGTAACTAAGTACATTTACCTGAGTATTTTCATTTTACTTTGAATTGAAATTGATTATTTCTACAGCGTGGTATTATCAATTTAATTATTTTTCCACCACTGAGTGTGGTACTCCAGGAAGTGATTCACATGCCTGGATTCCCATATTGCAAAAAACATCAAATCAGTTCAGCTGTTCTCAGTGTTTCAGCAAATGTGTGCTTAATTCTGAAAGACACTTGAGGACAGTCTAAACACTCACAAATAGACAAAAAAAGAATGCTAACGGACAGAAAATGTCCACACACAAAGATAAACAATCCCAAAAAGAGATGCATAACGACTTCAGAGACACCAAACACCAACAAAGAAGAGGCAAACCCTCCACAAAGTGATTTAAATGCTACCAAAACCAGAATCTATTACTTTTAGACAGTCTTAAGTAGTCACAGATGTTACGTAACTTACATAATTTCCTGTTATTGACTCCTTAGAGAGTGTGTTGTTTAATAAGAATAGCTTACTTAGGCTATATCTGTATGCAAACATATGCATTTGTGTCGTGGAGATTACTAGGTATTACCAGGTACAGAACTCAAAATGTCAGGGGACTTTACCTACTAAATGTCACCTGTGTGGAAACATAAAACGACTACAGAGAGACAAAATGCCTCTGGAAGAGATACAAACCAGTACAAAACAAAGAGACAACATCACTACGAGACACACATGAACGCCAAATAGACTAAGAAGTACTACAAAAAGAGGCAAAACCACCACAAGAGACACAAAACAGCTCACCTACTAAACGGCACTAGACCATACAATAATCACAAAGTGACCAAACGCAACAGCAAAGAGGCAAAAAATAACTCTAAGACCTAAGCAACTGCCAGAAAGATTTAAATAAAATAGCAAAAAAGGGGCTCAAATCCCACATTGACAAGAACAACTGCAAAGAGACACCAAACACCAACAAAGAAGAGGCAAACTCTCTGTGTCTTGCTCCTGTGTGGGAAATATGAAGACGGGGCATTTTGTACGTTATCCACCAGTTTGTGTGTTTCAGTGTGTTTACGTGTTGTTTGTCCATCTTTCTCATACGGCAGATGAGGACGTGAGGAAGTATTGTGAGAGCCAGAAGAAGCTGTCTGAGCCCCCCCTCCAGGACCCTGAGGTGGACAGCTGTGGCCCCCGCACCCCCGAGAGAAGGATCGGCATCACCCTGGACGACGACCCCGAAGGTCAGTGTTTATTAAAGGGGACCTATCATGCAAAATCCACTTTTCACGTCTCTTCTACATCAACATGTGTCCCCTCTTCTTCATGTCTCTTCTACATCAACATGTGTCCCCTCTTCTTCATGTCTCTTCTACATCAACATGTGTCCCCTCTTCTTCATGTCTCTTCTACATCAACATGTGTCCCCTCTTCTTCATGTCTCTTCTACATCAACATGTGTCCCCTCTTCTTCATGTCTCTTCTACATCAACATGTGTCCCCTCTTCTTCATGTCTCTTCTACATCAACATGTGTCCCCTCTTCTTCATGTCTCTTCTACATCAACATGTGTCCCCTCTTCTTCATGTCTCTTCTACATCAACATGTGTCCCCTCTTCTCCATGTCTCCTCTTCATCAACATGTGTCCCCTCTTCTCCATGTCTCTTCTACATCAACATGTGTCCCCTCTTCTTCATGTCTCTTCTACATCAACATGTGTCCCCTCTTCTCCATGTCTCTTCTACATCAACATGTGTCCCCTCTTCTTCATGTCTCTTCTACATCAACATGTGTCCCCTCTTCTCCATGTCTCTTCTACATCAACATGTGTCCCCTCTTCTCCATGTCTCTTCTACATCAACATGTGTCCCCTCTTCTTCATGTCTCTTCTTCATCAACATGTGTCCCCTCTGTGTAAAGAGACTCTGAAAGTTTCAGGAACAAAGATTCTCTCTCTTTTTGTCCTGATCCATTTCTATAAAAACCTGTCTGAAAATGAGCTGATCAGATTTTGGACACTTTATGATGTCATAACGATTTTTTTGGCTTGTGTAACCCCCCCCCCACCTTATCACCTGAATCTCCTCCTAGAGCACCATTGTGTTCTTTGTAACCAAATCTCTCTCAGAGGGGCGTGGGGAGGGGCTCCTTATTTTCATCTAAAGTAACAGACAGAGAATCAGCACTTTGGAAACAGGGCTGAAACAGAGGGGATTATGGGATGCTGCAATGATCTGTTTGGTGTTTGGAGCCAAACACTTCAGAGACATGTTTTGTATATATCTGAGACCTATAATATGTTGATGAAAAACAGTACAATAGGGGACCTCTAAGTCACTCATTCTGTGCATGACTCAGCTAAAAGCACCTTATCATTGCTTCTCTAAACACGTTTTATGACACTGTTACAGAAGAGGATTTCATTAATTCTGGTCATTGATGAAAAGGAGATTTTAAACGGTACACCACTCCACTATTGTGATATTGTAGGCTTGTTTTGACTCCCCTATAAGAACATGTAACCTGATTGGCAGTACCACAGTGTCATCTCAGAATAAACAAGATTAAATCCACGCCAATAATTAATTTATTAGCTTAAAATGTGTTTACATATGCTGTGTCTGACTTATGAGGGCGAGTGCACAGCTGTTTTCTGTTCAAGGGCATGAAAGACCCTTCAAATCATTATAAGTACTTTTCTAACAATCATTAGGTTGTTCTGATGTTTAACGATGTCAATGCTCTCGAGAAATGCATCCACTTAATGTGATGTGGTGGAAAACATATAATAAGTGGGTAACGCAATTTTTAAAGCATTTGAAGTAGTGATTGCCGCACAGGAAGACAAGTCTGATAAGTCATTTTCCACTTCCTTATGATGTATTATCATTCTCATAATTTGCTTCTGTGAATTATATTTATTATATAACCCTTATTTATATATTAGCCTTGAGGAATAACCTTTTTTTGTTAATTGTGTGTACATCTTGTCTTGACTTGCAGGCAATACTGGTCAAATATAGTTATTAGTGTAGATAGATAGATAGATAGATAGATAGATAGATAGATAGATAGATAGATAGATAGATAAGTACTTTATTGATCCCAATTTGGGAAATGTTTGCGTTGCAGCATAAAAAACAATGCAATGTACATAAGAGAAATTAAGACACTAGAAGTAATCAAAGTAATAAAAAGACACAAATCAATAAGACCCAGGGAGCTGTCGCCACCTAGCACGGCCCATATAGTGTTATTGATTTGAATGTTGATTGAATTCCCTCCAGGAGCTCCGGAGCTGTTCGACGCCTTCATCTGCTACTGCCAGAGCGACTTTGAGTTTGTGCACGAGATGATCCGCGAGCTGGAGCAGACGGAGTGTCGCCTGAAGCTGTGTGTGTTCGACAGAGACGTGCTGCCGGGGTCGTGTGTGTGGACCATCACCAGCGAACTCATCGAGAAGAGGTGGGACAATGTCACGTTAAATACTATTGTAGTTATTGGTATTTAGGGCACCTGGTGTATGTGGAGGTTTGTTAGCGTGACAATGGGGGTGAGCTTAACTCTGATATCTTTTGTTGACCGCATGATTCTGTTTGTTTATTGTTTTCAGGGTGTCCGCGGGGTCTTAAAAAGTATTAAAAGTTGATAAATCAATTTAGCGAAAATGAAGGCTATTAAAAAGTATTAAACGGCATTTCCCAAGGTATTACATTTTGTAGCTTGTTTTCAATAAGTATATAAATGGTCCAAAGAGGTTGTATTCTACAGTCTGCCTGAATGTAATCATTGCGTAGGTGTGTAGTGTGATTCTGTGTAGTTTATTTATGGCATCCCGTTGGATTTGACGTCATCTGAACAGGACATCGCACGCTCACTGCTTGATAGCGTGCGAAGCTCCGTTTACGCCGGTTGTTAAACAACATCGTTATGGGGAAATGCAAGTCTGCGTCCAAATGGTTGGAAGATAAGGAGGAAGGACAATCAATACTGTATATAGTCAATGTGAGGTAAAGTGTGTCGCCAAGGTAACCGGTTAGAACTCAAAGTGGCGATGAGGTCTTGAAATGTATGGAAAGGGTCTTAAAAAAGGTCTTAAAAGGTTTTACATTTGACTTCAGGATTCCTGCATATACCCTGGTTTTGATTTCCAATATTAAATATCCTTAAAACGTCAAGATCAGTACAGACTTTATTATTTATACGCGTCACATCAATGAGCGAAGTTTAGCCTCAGAGCGGCCGTATTCATTAGGAATATAGCCGCCACAACTCTTATTGGACGAAACATTGTGCCCCACAAGAGCTTGCAAAGATTATAATATGTTTGTTATACGGTTACATGCAGATTTACAGAAGCACGTTGCCCATAAACTACATGTCCCACAATGCATCTCAAATTAGACTTTTTTTTCTCCGAATTTGACTTTTTTTTTCAAAATGTCACTTATTTTTTTCTTTTGACTTTTTTTTCCAGAATTTTGCATTTCTTTTAAAATTATTTTGTGACATTCTCACTGAAGAGACTTGCAATTATTTGCCCTAGACTTCTGCTTTCAGACGTAGTTAATTATGAAGTTATTACCCTATCCGATAACAATCCAATGCAGAGGCAATAATGTAATATAATACATTATTTTATATATATTAAATATTTATATATGTATTTTTATATAGTCTTATATATAAAACTGGCCCTTTGAGTGCAACCATGATGCTAATGTGGCCCGAGATGAAATTGAGTTTGACACCCCTGGGTTAGACCCTCTTAATTTTGTGACACTGCTTGCATTATGTAATGACAATAAAGTAATCTAGTCTAATTTAAATGTAAAATGTATAGTGATATTTTAAGTCCAAAAGAAGCTAAATAATAATAACAATACATATAAAACTTGGCAGCCAACGCACTTCTGCTTATTCGGCGCTTTTGAGGTATTGTTTGTTTGCAAACCGTTTCTCATGCGTGCCTTACGAATGTATTTCAGCACAGGAAGTGATACAGGCCTGCTGTCTATTATCAGTAAACCGAATATAATCTGCCGCTATTAATAATCTGTACCGGGGGGAAATAGAAAGAGGAAGTGTAAAGACTCAAAACTCATGGCAGAGAGCTTAATATATACCGTTTTTTATTTTAAAATGGAGGTATAGGAAGCCACCAGAGAGGATGGATTTAGAAATGTCTCTCTTAAAATCTCCCTGAAATATAATCTGGTTATAAATGTGATGTGTGCAGGTGTAAGAGGATGGTGGTGGTGATCTCTGATGAATACCTGGACAGCGACGCCTGCGACTTCCAGACCAAGTTTGCTCTCAGCCTTTGCCCTGGTGAGAAACATCACATGAAATGCCTCTCATGTGACTGTTTTTGATTCAAACATTGACAGGTTTAGAGAGCATGACAGATGTGACGGGTAAAACGATAATGACATTGCAAAAATGTACAGATATTAAAAGTAAAAATTGTTTAATGAACATATTAAGACATCTATTGACCACAGAGCCCTGCTGTTATTGTCTGTAAGCAATCAGGTCCTAAATATGGGGACTAAGGGACTCCATACTTTATTGATATATATGATTTAGAGCAGGGGTGTCAAACTCAAATAAACAGTGGGCCAAAATAAAAAAATGGGTACTAGTCGGAACCTGGAACTAACAAAGCTTAAATTATTGCCTATAAAAACAACATTAAACATTTCTTATGATTACATTTTTCCACAGGCCAACAACAGCTTCAAAAAAACTATTTCCCTCAAAGAAAAAACCAAACATGCCCTGTTGTCGTGAGAGAAAAAGTGCAGAAGGAAACATCCATGTAAACTCAGTGTGCTGCTCTGTGATGCTAGTTCAGATATTTGGCATCTCATCTTGGGTGCAAGGTCATCAATGTTTGGGGTCAGGCTCTGAGCGGAGGAAACCCTCAGGATGGAGTGAAGGTGTGCGTGCAATATACCGGCGGGCCAGATCTAATAGTAGTGAAAAATTATCCTGCGGGCCGAAATTAAATCCACCAAGGGCCTGATTTGGCCCCCGGGCCTTGAGTTTGACACATGTGATTTAGAGTCATATTTGGGGGATTATCTATGCCTAAAATTACAATTATTTGCCCCTTTTTGTTTGTTTGTTCACCATGTAAAGCGGCCTTGGGTCCCTTGAAAGGCGCTATACAAATGTAATCTATTATTATTATTAAAATGCACAAGATGTTTACTTTCTTACCAATTATGTTATTGATTTCTTTAAGACCCTCTTTTCAGAATTGTTGGATATATGCACATTTTTAATAAACAGTGAACATGTCTGTTATTTAGCACTTAAATCTGGCTTCACTTCACTGGTAGTCTATGATTTATCTTAAGTTGAAGTTCCTTTGCTCTATTAGTTGTCAAACAGCCATATAAGTTGAGATCATTTCACACCTTACTCTCAATTTCAAGTCATTCTCCCTTTCTTTTGTAATTTTAGCCGTGTTTTTCTGTATTGTCCCAGAGAGTAACCCAACTTTTTTTGAATATTTGTTCCTCTCAGGAGCTCGAGGGAAGCGTCTTATCCCAGTGAAGTACAAGCCAATGTCGAGGCCGTTTCCCAGCATCCTTCGCTTCCTCACAATATGCGACTACACCCGGCCGCTCACACAGGACTGGTTCTGGAAACGTCTCGCCAAAGCCCTCTCACAGCCAGTCAGTCATAGTTAAAGGCGCCTTTTTTATTATTAAACATCACATCGTTAAAGTATGTGCAATTGCTTGTGTCACTTATAATTTACTAGGTTACTGATTTGTGTTTCCTGTGAGGATGAAATGGTGATTATTATGCACAGGGATACCAAATATCAGCAAAGTTCTCACACAGTTATGTTTCAGGAATATCAGGTTGCTGCCGCTGTTTTGTATTTATGTGAGGTACAATGTGAGGAGGAGGTGTTTGTATTCAGAACAGCATGTACCGAATTCTCTGTAAAAGCTGTTTTTTTGTTGCGCTTGCCACTTCCTGTTACGAGGCAACTTCTCGATGAGATTGTATCTGAAGAGGAAGACATTTCAGATTGTTCCACTAAAGTCTACTGACACCTACCTTCATCTCTCTTTCTGTGTCAGTCATCACAGTGTTTTTACATTTGATACTTTTGTATATGCTAAAATGTATTTGACTTTGAAAATAAATTGTATGAGTGTTATTTCCTTTAATAAATGTATCACATTTTTAAAAGGCAGTTTCCTTTTATTTCAGAAGCAGAATTCATGCACTATTAACCCAGAGGGGGAAATTAGATAAAAAAGAATCTGTGCAGTATTAAAATAAGAATATATTCCAATGTTGTCCAGCAGGTGTCACCATTGTGCATAAAAACGTTATAAAATCAGAGGTGTCGTTAATTGAATGCTATAAAGAAGACTTCAGCCTGAGTACATTTTACACTTAACACATCAACATCCAATCACAGAGCAGCGTATGTGATACCGTCCAATCAGTGAACAGGGTGGTCTGGAGCAACGCCTCTTTTCACACGTGTATTTTATTGTTAATATGCGCCCTGAGTGTGGCCTGTCAGGTAGAATTTCCCAGCCAATGCTCAACATAAAAGTGCTTCATCAATGAAATTATTTTGGGTTCATATGGATTAAGTATGGGATGGGATTATTTGAAAAAAATCATGTGGTTTGTCGGATGTATGAGAAGAATGGATGCCTGTAAATCCTTCCGCTGGGAAAATTAATCACCTAGTATTGAACAGCCCGCCATTGAAAGTGTGGCGGAACCCACACGCCTTATTCGTTTTTAGGCATGTTTAACCTAATATTAAAATACTATTCGTAGTGTTTGCTGGTACCTAGAAGGGGAAATCCAAATACATGCAGTCTCAAGATAAATAAAGCTACATATTTGTGCAACTAACGTTTCAAAAAGTCACTGAACACTGGCACAGTCAGGGTAATTAACCCCCAACCAGAGCTAATAATAATTCCCCCTTTTTAATGACTGTATTGGAATTCAGGATTTACGCCCCTCACTCAATATGGCGACCGGGGAGGTCCACATTTGCTCAGTAGGAATGCGGTAGGCGGGGCTGCAAGGCTCGTGTCAAACTTTGGGAATGACAGGAGTGCTGCAGGATTCTCAAAGAAGGGGAAGTGTCGCCCTCCTGTTTGGATTACTTCTTTTTACGCACAGTGTATGGGATTGACCACATTTTCTGCAGATAGTAGACGGCCCCCCAGCACACTCCTCAGCCATGTCCGAGGACCAGAGCCCCCAAACCTGGTCCATCAACAAAGATGACTATGAGCTTCACGAGGTGATTGGTATGTATGTGGTCCTTAGCTTTGTTAGCTCAATGTGTTAACCGTTTTGCAGTTAGCTCCATTAAAGTGACAGCTTTAATTAATTCACGTGTGTACATCTCGCAGAAGGCATGTTATATTTTCTGGAGCTAGGATAAATTCATCGCGTTTGGCCGACTTGACAATCCTAGCCGGGCGGTGTTGTGTTTTAGTCAGTGATACGCTAACCCCGTCCACCGGGGCTACGCCTGGGTCATAAACGATTACGTTACTATATTCAGGTGCTGACTATTTGCTGGAAAATAACTGCTTTCATTGAGCATTTGAATATTGATTTTAACTGCTATTTATAGTACATTATAGTATAGTTTTTTCTTATTTGAACACTAAAAGGGCGTAGTATCAATGACATATAGGAAGAAGTACTCTAATAATTTACTTAAGTAAAAGTAGCAATACTGCAGTGCAAAAATACAAAACAAAGTGAAAGTATTAACATTAACATATATTTTAAGTACCAAAAGTGCTCACTATGCAGAATGGTCCATTTAAGCACCATATATATTTTTAATTTCTGTATTAAAATGATTGGTGCATTAATGTGTTCAACCCTTTAATGTTGCATAAAATGGGGGTTATATGAATTACTTAACATTTCATAATATATGTTTATTTATTAAGTACAATACTTGAGTAAATGTACTCAGTTAGATTCCCCCCCCATTCCCAAATATAATACACTTCATATTAAACCATATCACTTTTTCCAAAACACTGGTGTTGCCACTGCAAAGTCCAGAGATTAGACTCGATGGTCCTTCCCAGAGTAGAGCTGTTTTGGGCAATTTACTGCCTGAATGAATCCAGTTATGTGAGAGCAGTTGGAGAGGATGAATCAGTTTTGAAGGGCTCTTAAACACGTCTCTAAAAGGAAATGGGGGGGGAAAAGTCATTTGAGAATTTGCTGGGAAACATAAAAAATGCTTTGTTTTATCAGTCTGCTTTGTATTTATCACTTTGGACACATATAACACACCTTTCCAGGCAGCTGTACTTTAGATTTTCTGATATTTACCACCCCACCTATAACCTGACCCTGTCGGCTGCTCAGAGGGAAGCAGTGTGTAACATATAAGCAAAGTATTGTCCTCTCAAATCACTACATTTGTGCCTCTGGTTTACTTTCCCTAAGTGGTGCTTGCTTCCTCTTCAGGGAATCTGTGTATATAGCGGGTCCATTCTGCAGGCCTTTTGTATATTTTCTAAAACATACCCAGATTTAACCCATTTCTACTTTCTTGGAACATCTGATCTGGGGTACCTCACAAGATAAACCCTGCAATTTAGCATGAACACAGACAAAGCCCCTCTTGTATGGAAACCAGTTCTGTGGCATTTCTCTACGCAATGTGCGACACAAATTGTTAGGTTTGATGAGGCTATTTCCAGGTTGAACTCAGTAAGAAGAATATGAATTTGGCTTTGGAAATAAACTGTGTAGTTGTCTAAATGACACAAAAGCTGATCACTAGTTGCACTCGCGAATCTAAAGGATCTACCTTGTTTAATATCCAATCGTAACTCTCTCTGGCTGAGATCCAAGGCTCCTCGTAAACACAAGTTAAACAGGAAAAGTCCTTCTGTTTGGCATCTGTTCATGTTTAACCTTGCAGAAAGTCCTGTGGAGTTGTCCTGCTCTCTGCCCTCTTAGACATTCTTTCTATGACTACCTTATTTCCATTGCAGCTTTAAAAAATGAGCTTTGGGTCTGAGGGACGCCTCGAACTAGATAATTGATCAGTAAATCAAACAATAGTCAAGTTTTCTTCCATTTCGTGTATCCACTTTTAGTGAACACTCTTTAAATCTCTTGCTGTTCTACCAAATCAGAATGACTTCCTCAGATCATTCTCCTCAGGTTACCTTCTTAACATTTGCTGTCAGCATTTTACCAAAAATACTGCCTTTTTAGAGCGTAACTACTGCGGGGGGGAAAGAGAAGGGAGCATCAATAGGGAGGGTTTCTTCACAGAAATAGCCGGCATTGTTTGTTCATGTTTGGACGATCTTCTCTTGGTTGCACAACAGTCAGGGGTTGTTTTTGGAGTGTGTATTCTTAGAGGAGGGTTATACAAATGCAGTATTGACTCCTTCAGATAATTAGTTCAGCTCACTGTTTGTGTAGGAAAGGTAACATAAATAGCCTTTTTTATTTAGATTTGTATCTGATCGCAGCAGGTAACACGAGCTGTGTGTCTCTTGCTGTGATGTTTTATCTGCTTCTAGCATCACTGAGTGAATAAAGAAGTTTTATTTGATTGGAAATGTTCCTCATAGTCAGTTCATATCCCGTACGTGCAAACATTGAAGGAAATTGTGAAAAGAGACCTTCTTGTTTGAACTCAGTGCAAGAAATCCAAGAGATATTGAAGTCAAAACAGCCTAAAGGCGATCTCTCATCGAATTGTTTGTCCGACTAACTCTTCAGATTCTCCTCCGAGTTTATTTTCACATATGGCAAAGAGAAGCAGAAAATCCCAACAATTTTAAAGCTGAAAACGGGAATTATTAGGGATGTAACGATACCAAAAACTCACGGTACGATAATATCGCGATAACAAGTCCACGGTATGATATTTATTGCGATATTGAAAAATAAAAAAGTTGAAAAAATGTTTTGAACATTTCATCTTGCCATTTTTTTTGCCAAGTAACTCAACTCTCACTCACTCAATCACTCACTCACTCACTCAATCACTCACTCACTCACTCACTCACTCACTCATGCTTTGGCCATGGGTGACAGCAGTGGGTAAAACTGTGCATTGTTTCTCCACCACTAGGGCTGTGCGATTATGGCAAAAATCATAATCACGATTATTTTGGTCAATAATTGATATCACGATTATTAAATACGATTATTCATTGACTTTGAAAACATCCATTTATTGAACTTTAAAACAAATACAAATAATAATTTGAACAGTATCTTTTTAACTGTTGATTACCCTGAACGTATAAATGATACATTTATATTTACATTTAAATAAATAATATCAAAATAATAAATACCAATAAACAAGATCAACAAATATTTTGGAGCGCACTTCAACAAGCTACTAAACATATGTAAATATGATAAATACAAATAAATTAAGACTAAAATAAATTAGATCAAATATGTTGCAGTGCACGGTCAAAACCTAGCAAAGCAAAATAATCGTTTTTTACGATTATGTTGTTTTCGTAATTGTGGCAGGCCAAAATCGTAATTGCGATTAAAATACGATTAATTGCACAGCCCTACCCACCACTTCAAAAACAATACCGTTTTTGCCAAGAAGGTGAGGCTTATTGACAGGGCGAGATATACATATACTGTTGGTACTTGTCAATGTCTCTAGGTATGTAAATGTAGCCCTGTAAATACGATGTCCTTTTGTGTTATCTGTTGTTTTATGGTCATGTTGTAACCTACTTGCTGCCATGTTGGACAAGTCTCCCTTGAAAAAGAGTTTGACGATTTTGTCAGTCTCACGACGGTATTGAGACATTTATTTATCGCGATATTCGATATATCGTTACATCCCTAGGAATTATCTGTCATTTTTGCTTCAAATAATGACCTGTTTCTTAGTGGTTTACAAAACTCCAGTAATATTATATTCTAGCAAATTTATCAGACAATCAAAAAGCAACCACTAGACTACGATTTATTTTCAACATTAAAGCTGAGGCCATTTCAATTATTGGTATATTGTATTCTGTGATATCTGTGGAATACAAACTAAGTCAAGTGTATGATACTCAACAAGAGATAATATATTATGACACTAAAATATGATTTTGACAAATGTATTACTGGGCTCTCGCAGACATTTAAGTGAAACACTGTTCTTTTTAATACTAGCAATAAAATAGACCTTGACTATAAAGTGCCACATCTCTCAATTTGAAGTACTGTTGGACATGCCATGGGAATTACTTTCACTTTGGATCAATGTTGAGTCAGAGGCTACTGGTAAGAAGAAGTCATGTGTGACTGACATTTCCCTTTCTATGAATAATGTGAGGAATGACAGCCAGGTATGCAGAGGAAGTGTTTTAAAAGACGTCAGGCGCAAACTGGCCCGGTGAGAAACAGACAAACTGAGAGCTGATGGTGACCTCATCCACGAAGAAGCCAATCAAAGACAAAGATAAAACGATAAGTCATAATTGTGCCTGGCATAAATATTCAACAAGTATCCGTAGCGTTTTCTGATGAATGAAAATTACGTTTTTTTTTACCAGACTTCTTTCTGCGGATTGATATGGCTGCACACAGTCCCTTGATCCTCCTTAGCAACAGTCTTTTCTCCTTAGCAACGGTCTGCTATAGAGTGGCGAAGTCCCTCCCCTTCCGGTGGACCTCCATGGGACCTTATTTCGGAAAAATTATGTATTGAAGTCAATGGAGAGAGAAAGATTATCTTTCGATCCCGTTTGAATTGTGCCACGAATTACACATATGATGTTTGTCAATTTAAAAGATAATTTTGCAAGTCAAAAAAAAAAAATGTGTAAAACTGTGAAGTAACACATTTGTTTGTGTGAAACGCTCAATGAACTACATCTCTGGTCAACAACACACGTCACCAAGATGGCCGTCACTACTGTCTTGTCAACAAAACGATTGACTACCCTCACTATCACCACAATGAAACACGTCATGAAGAAAGTCATGCAAAGCTGCCTGCCTGCCTTCCTTTGATTCTCTCTGAACTGCCTGGTCGTTTTAATGTTTAATGTCAACCATTTGTGCAGATAGCATGAAGTAGAGAAGATCGTCGATGCTAACGTTAGCGTTAGCATTTCTCCCCCGGGCTTAAATGGTGTATTATAGAATGATCACACCGGTGACAGTACTATTCAAAGGGTTCACGAAATATGACTACTACTCTTACTGTTTAACATTTTGGGTTACTTAATGTTACTTCATGTTAAGGCTGATAAAAATGACAAGGCTGTAATGCTAACTAACGTGCTAGCTACTAGCTAGGTAGCTAACTTGATCAAGCCACTCCTGGTCCTTTCATCAGACGGGAAGCAAAGAACGAGCAAGACCCATTGCTGGTATAATAACAACCTGGTACTAAGCACACAGGCATCTTGTTACAGTTATCTTATCTTAGCCAGCGCCATATAGATAGATTATATCTATATGGCGTTATCTTATCTTAGCTATCTCTATTTTAGTGGAGGAAAACAATTGTGACATCATTTACTCTGGGATTTGTAGTCTTTCTAGTTGCGTATTTTTCATAGTCTTATATTTCAACGGTTTTACGACAAACTGTGACTTTTTTGACTTGGAAATTATTTTTTAAGATTGACAAACATCATATGTGTAATTCGTGGCACAATTCAAACGGGATCGAAAGATAAGTTTTCTCTCTCCATTGACTTCAATGCATAATTTTTCCGAAATAAGGTCCCATACCCCGGAAGTAAGTGGGCGTGACTTCGCCACTCTATCGTAAAACAGCAGACCACTGGAATGCCCTGTTGACCAATCAGAATCAAGTATTCAACCGAGCAGTGTAATAATTTGGTTTTATCTAATCAGTACCACGAGACCTTGAGATTTAAATTGTTTCTTGTCATTTTAATGGTGTTTTAATGATTGAATGAAGTGTTATGCTGGTTCTTTGTCCGCGTCCTCAGTAAGCTTATCAATCTGTCGACTATTCCCTTGTGTTTTCCCATCTTTTAAAAGACTTCTTAGCCATGCACCAGAATAGAAAGAATGCAAACATTCCATACTGGGACGTCAACTCCCTAAAGAGCAAACATGTCAGCTATCGGCTTAACGGCAAAGCCTGCACACGAGTATTTAGGGTTAAACAGTACATTTGAAAGAGAAACCTCTTGCCTGTCTTACTTCGCCTGGTCGTAGTGTGATAATCTACAGGCTTCTCTTGTTTTGAGGAAACATGCTTACAGAAAACATTGGATGCTTTTTTCAAAGATCATGATTGTTTTGTCAATGCTTCCCTCACAGCGTGATCATGCTCTCTTCCCCTCTGTGACTGAGTTCAACATCCAGAGAGATGCAATTACATTTATGATATAATCAAACGTGTGCAAAGATTTAATCATGACGTGAAGTTACTTAAATGTACAGCAAATTGTATTTTTGAGAATGGACAAATTCACAAGTTTGTCGACAGAAGATCTTTGAAGTTGTGTTTTCACCTGTAGTCGTAACGAGCTGATCCTGTTCTCTTTTATTAAGTCATTTTAAAAACACTTTTTTCACTTTTTATTGTCATTATTTTTATGTAACAAAATGGTTTCTCTGCATTTGACCCATCCTAGTGTTAGGAGCAGTGGGCTGTCATTATGTATGGCGCCCGTGTAGGGAACGGTGCCTCTGTAGCACTTGTTCTTGCCGGGACTTGAACTGGTGACCTTCCAGTTGCCAAGCCAAGTCCCTATGGACCTCGCCCACTTAAATGCAGCCTTTACATTCGTTCCAGCAGATTAGATGTTGACTCTTTCAAAGCCCCGGCACTAATGCAGTTTCTGTGCCTCCTCCCAATTGGGATGAAGACGTTTTGTGACGATCTTATTTTCTACGACTGACTTGTGTCCCCCTGGGTGCATCGTAGTATAATCACTGCAGCTTTGCTTCAAACCTCAAAGGCTTCTCTGAGTATTTCATAATCATGTAACTGGATAGTAGAGACGTGACTCCTCTGAGCAGAGCAACCTTGTGCTAAGCTTGGAATGAATATCAAAGAGCATCAGGTCCATGTTAACTCAAGGTCCTGACTAGCTGCTGGATTTCTTTGAGACTAATTGGCTGGCCTTGGTGCCCCTTGACCTTGCGTGCTGCAAACCCCTCCCTTTTCCATCCTACTCACACTCACACTCACACTCACACTCACACTCACACTCACACTCACACTCACACTCACACACACACACACGCTCGCTCTCCCCGGCTTGTCCATCCACCCCTGACGACTGGCTGTTTGTTTGGAGGAATTTACACGCCAATGTGTACCAACAGAGCAACTGGCTCCCATCACTGGCCGCCCTCCAGGGGGTGTGTTTGGTGGTGGTGGTGGGGGGGCTATGGAGGATATATTTACAGCCCCTAGTTTTGAGCTATGGTGGAGTTATCTGTGATTTCTTTATTGCGGGATAGTTGTGCAACTCCAAGCATTAGATGGCACCCGCTAGAGCTTCAGGAAGTAGTCTTTATCAGCCATATTCAAGAAGAATTGCCCTTTTTCAAAAAAGCAGTGAACACAAACTTCAATGTGTGCCACGAATCTACAAAAGGGAATCTCTCTGACAACCCTAACCGTACCCTATCCTCCTGGGGAAGTCTGGTTTAAAAGAGTCACTCCCAACCCTCCATCAGGCAGGATTTGGGAAAGCTGATTCATAATTGATGAACAGAAAGTGAAGCTTTGCCAAAGAGAAATCGGATGAACTGTGAAAAGCAAAACTGTGCTTAACCTGCCTGAACTCGGGAGGATTTAAAAGTTATGATTAAAGTTTGTAGACGGGGTTAGGGAAGGGGCAGACAATTACACGAAGCCTCAGGATGTTAATATGACCTCAAATGATTGTGCCAAAGTTAATTTCCACAACAGCACTGGCAGTCTTATATACCAGATGATCATTACTATACTGAATATTAATCAAAGTGATGTATTTTTCTCGTGTGTTTCAGGGAGTGGGGCCACAGCAGTGGTTCAGGCAGCGTACTGTTTACCACGCAAGGAGAAGGTGGCCATCAAACGTATTAACCTCGAGAAGTGCCAGACGAGCATGGACGAACTCCTGGTAAGAAACACAACACACCCTTTATTTGTATCCTGATTACATTATCCTGTTACATGTAATATGTTACTTACCTATAGGCATGCCTATGGTTTTAAAGTGTACGTACAGTGCATTGCTAAGGTCATTCTGAAGGCTAGCTAGCCGCTGATGTGTAGCACGTTACACACCGAGATGGCAAAAGTACACGCATCCTTTACTCAAGTAGAAGTACAGATACTCGTGTTTAAAAATACTCTGGTAAAAGTAGAAGTACTGACTAAACTTCTTTACTCAAGTAAAAGGAAAGAGGGCTTTGAAATGTACTTCAGTAAAAAGTACCCATAACTAGCAGCTGTTTTAAAGAGTACCTGACCTCCCTTTATATTAATAGAACAATAATGTCATTGTTAGCTAATGAATGTTTCCATGCTGAACAACGGCAACATGACAACGTTTTCATTGGTCCCTCTTCTTTAGAGAAGACCAGGAAATGATGGATACACGGATCGTGTTCAAATCAATAGGCACGCAATGACTCTAAATAATAATGATCACGCCACCAAACACACATTCAAACTAAAGGAACCAGCCTGTTTGGAAAATGTAACAAGTAGAAAGTACAGGTATTTGGGTTCAACATGTAAAGAATGTACTTAAGTACAGTAACGAAGTATTTGTACTCCACTACTTCCCACCTCTGGTTACACAAACGTTCCTGCTAATGTCCCGTCGGTGGAGTTATCTGCCCGTGTGGTCCTCTCTCTTCAGATCCACCATCAACACGCTGTCTGCACCTCACATGCAGGCTGCAGCACACGTTTATTTACTTTATTACGTTCGTTCCCTCAGGTGTAACACGGACACCCTGTCAGCATTCCAGCCGCTGTCAATCAAACACACAGGAGGAAAAATGCATTTAAAACGTTTTTTGTTCTTAATTTATTGGATTTTTAAAATACTTTTTAAGATAAAACAAAGAAGAAAACACAAAAAGAGACATTAAGACATTAAAATAGCCCCCATACATCCAATCCCACCCACCCCTACCCCCAGACAGGGCTGCATCAAAGCAATGGAAAAAACACGCATTTCTGACGTATTAGGAATCACTAACTTGATGTGATTGTAGTTGGCCTTGTGTGTGATCAAAGGGGGCTGCTCCCTCGAACACACGGCTTATCTGTGGTCCGTGCATGTTGGTTCCCACCTCTGCTTTTCATTAGGAGCCCTCCTCCAATCATCCCTGTCACTTCAAACGCTATTCTGGTTGTTCTCTGAAGACTCCTCTTACTGCCAGGAAACTTTTGGACCCACCGCCATCTTTCTGCAAGGTGTCGTTATTTCTTCTTTGCAATCTCAGACCCCTGCTCATCGTTAACTGTAAGACATGAGCTTTAGCATTTAGCTCTCCTACATAAACACATGGAAAGGAGTTTTTAAGGTACATTTTTTTTATCCAACAAACAGCAAAAACTTGGCAAAACTGCATTGGTAAAAGTTAAGATAGGTAAAGTTATAACTAGTCGTCAGTGACCCTTTTGTTCCACATGTACCAGATGTTTTGGTGCTAACTGAGCCGTTGTCAACTTTGACCACTACGTGATTATTGGATGTTTCCTCTCATCGCTCACCACTTCCCAATCCAAAGTTCTGGGAAGTAGGAAATACATCTTGTGTATTTCGAGATCACGGCCTGGAGATTACTGGCAGATTTCCCACTACTCACTGGCGATACTGAACCCTAACCTTTCCCCAACCCCCCACGATTTTGCGGAGGATGAATCGGGGGAATGCTGCTCCCCGGATTCTCGGAGCAGGCGGTCACGTGGACTACAAGCGAGGTCGGATTTCCTGCCTGTGGTTTCCCCCCTAATTCCCCTACCCTAGTTCAACGGCAAGGAAGCATTACGTTGAACCCAGATCGCTCCTGAAGAGAATCCTCTTAGGATGTAATGCATTGCTTTAATGGCAAAAAAATATGTACCTTTTTGGCCGTTAACGTCTGTATTTTGGCTTCAGAGTGTCTTATAAACCTATTATTGGAGCTGAGGTTTATCTCTGATTATTTAAAAGCCAAAACAGCTCCCTAATTGGGCGACAGTAGCTCAGTCAGTATGGACTTGGCTTGGGAAGCAAAGGAGAATGTATATAGTATAGTTATTCAGAGCTGGATGTCTTTTCTCAGTATTAAGACTACGCAGTGTGTCTGTTCCTCAGTGGTTTCTCTAGTGTGTGTGTGTGTGTGTGTGTGTGTGTGTGTGTGTGTGTGTGTGTGTGTGTGTGTGTGTGTGTGTGTGTGTGTGTGTGTGTGTGTGTGTGTGTGTGGTGTGTGTGTGTGTGTGTGTGTGTGTGTGTGTGTGTGTGTGTGTGTGTGTGTGTGTGTGTGTGTGTGTGTGTGTGTGTGTGTGTGTGTGTGTGTGTGTGTGTGTGTGTGTGTGTGTGTGTGTGTGTGTGTGTGTGTGTGTGTGTGTGTGTGTGTGTGTGTGTGTGTGTGTGTGTGTGTGTGTGTGTGTGTGTGTGTGTGTTGTGTGTGTGTGATGTGTGTGTGTGTGTGTGTCGTGTGTGTGTGTGTGTGTGTGTGTGTGTGTGTGTGTGTGTGTGTGTGTGTGTGTGTGTGTGTGTGTGTGTGTGTGTGTGTGTGTGTGTGTGTGTGTGTGTGTGTGTGTGTGTGTGTGTGTGTGTGTGTGTGTGTCGTAACGTTGCTCCATAGTGGCTTCTCTGTGTGACTCTGTGGCACCAGTTTGTGACGGTATTCACTTTGTGACAATCGCTCGTTTATTTACTTTGGTGCTCAGTTTCAAGGTCTTCACGACACGCCAAATACTGACTGGTCAGATCTAATTCAGTATTAAAACAATAGTGTGGCCTGGTGTTTATCTCCTATACAATCTGAGAAGGCTTAACCAAACTGAGCTTGGATATAGCTTTTTTTAAATGTGTAATCCATCATATCACAATCAATATTTATTTACTTTTGAGATGTTGGAGAGATATCAGTCAATGCTTACAGACTCTATTAAGCAAAGTGATTTCCATTAGGGAGAGAGAGACAGTTTCATTAGATGTCTGCTCTGATGTTGTTATTGATCAGATGTTCAGAGTTTCTGCTCTGCTGTCTGGGCCCCACAAAAAACATTAAGAGGGAGAAAATGTTGATTTGTTTTGGCATATTTATTCATATGAACCAGAAAATGAGCAGAATAGGACCACTTTAACATCTGATAGATTGCATACAGCTAATTCATGCAAAAGCAGAGGAGGGAGAAATACACTATGCTAATGTTATGGAGCTTATGAGTGCAAAACAGATGGTCATTATTAAAAAGCGACTTGACAAATATGTCCGACACACGTTACCTTGATCTTCTGCTGCTTCAGTGACATTGATAGTGGTTATGTGCTGCAGACGGGCGTGTCACCTGTGGTTTGATTCAAAAAGCTCTGAATGCTTTGTATAGTAGGATAAGTGCTATACAACACTCACAATCAGACATCAAATCAAAAAGTACAATTGTTTATGTTCATATTTAGATCTAAAATAGATGGTTAAAGAACTCACTTTGGGGTCTGAAGCCCTTAATAGGCACTTATGGCGCATTTCCACTACAGCGCGGTTTAAGCGTGCCGTGCCCGGCCCGTTTTTGATTGCGTTTCCACTAGGCGTAGTTCCGGCTAGCGAGTACTTTTTCACAGTTTTCTGGCTCTCCAAAATCGAGGTTCTTTCCGGGCCAACAACCGGGCTGAGTATGCTAAACTAGTGAGAGAATCGCTGGCAACTACAACAAGATGAACATATTTGACCGTGATTTAATTGTAATACACGTTTCAAAATGATGCCGAAGTAACAACATACTGATACCGGTTAGTAAAAACCATGAATTAATGCTTTGACAAGTCTGCAGACAGACGGCAGGCGAAAAACCTTTTAAAATGCGTGTTTTCTGAATGGAGATCGGCTAAGCTAACGCAGTATATGCCCCGACCGTCCACACTCACAACAACGGCCTATACAGACATAAATAAAGCAGCGACTGTATTCACCATGACACAGGCAGTCTGTGGTTTGTACTTGTTTCACTTGTGTCTAGTTTCTGAACAGATATGAGGAGCTGTGAGCTCTGAGTGCTAACAGCTAACGGCTGATGTTGGTTTTGTGTTTCGCATTGAAGATGACGTCACGGCTTCGCCTACACTGCGTTACTATAGTTACTGCCCCAGTTCCTAAACTGTAATGGAAACGCAGCATAAAGTGAGCCTGGCCTAACAAGGCTTAACGAGGCCTAACTATACCGTACTAAGCCGAGCGAGGCCCGGCAGTGGAAAAGCGCCATTAATTATATTTGTCATATGGTTAATTAAATGTAGAAATGTGCCACTGTGGCTTAGACTTCTGCATTTTGAGGTAAAAATAAGAAGAAATTCTTTACTGGCTCTAAGAAACTAAAATACTTTTATTGTTTCCTGAACTGCTTGTATAAGTTTCATTTGTTCTATAAAGATAAGCTTATAGTACAACTGATGTTATGACTAAGTGCTGGATTTCTTGCAGAATAAATGACACTATGTACTTTTTAAAGGACTGTACAGAAAGATAAATACATGTTTAAAAAAAGTCCTTCACAAAGCAAACACATTCCATCAAATGTCAGTCATTTCCCTAAACAATGAGGACATTTCCACTGTCTTTGCTGTACAGTAGATTTACAGTGACCTAACCCCCCCCCCTCAACTCAACAACAAAGAGCCCCTGATCCACACATTGTCTGTCGGGGAAAGATGAGAAAACCTGCCAACTGCCAGAGCACGATATCCTCCTGTTCTCCCATTGTTGTTCCTTTCTGGGGTTACCCTGGCCCACAGAGCTGAGCTGACCTTCCCTTTCCACTGAGCTGAGAACAGGGGGGGGGGGGGGTGGGGTGTGAGGGGATCATTATTGTTCCCTCTCAGCCTGGAGCATACAGAGACAGAATGACAGTGGGGACGACACACAGAGATGGTGTCTGGACTGGGAGGTATTGGACAGCTTGTCAATTAGAAAACCATATTTATTTATTTTGTTAAACTTTGTGTGTTGGGTTTTTTCAACATCTCCAGGGTGTTGGAGCAAAACCAAACTCATAATATTTGGGAATCGATCAACCAATACAGAGACGAAACTCACTATGAATGGCGTCCAATCATAGACAATAAATTAAGTTGGAAACCGCATGTCAAAGCCAAAATATCCAAATCAATAGCAATTCTGAATAAAGATAAATACCTATGAAATTGAGCTTCCTTGTTTACGCTGTGCTGCTCCTTCATACTTCCATACATGATGTACTGTGTGGAGGTTTGGGGGAAGACATATAAAACAAATTAGGGCTGCACGATATTAGAAAAAAATGATATTGCGATATGAAAAAATACAGGAATTGAAGAAAAGACCGTTTGTTTTGTCCTCAAACCATCCTTTCTTGAACTTTCTTGAACTTCAATGCTATAAAATTGGTATTTTACGATATTTAACCGGATGAAGGATTTTAGTCACGGACTTCTGGATCTTATCAGAGCAACAAGCTGAGCTAGCTCGGTTATCCTGCTGTGATCTGATCGAGAATGGTTGTGATTGGTGGTTTGCTGTGCATGCTCTCATGTCAGGGGTACTTGAGTGAGTGACATGCAGTCACTCACTCAAGTACCCCTGACATGCAGTCACTCACTCAAGTACCCCTGACATGCAGTCACTCACTCAAGTACCCCTGACATGAGAGCCGCGCGAGTTTTCCTTTTGTAGCAAGCAGCAAAATAATTGTAACCTGACGTGTTTGAGTTAATTTGCCTACTTAATATCGCACGTCCTAAACAAATACACATCCTATCTTCATCCTGCAAAAAAGAGCCATACGAATGATACATAACACTACCTACAGAGAACCAACAAATACATTATTTATCAAACTTAAGACACTAAAACTACAAGACCTGGTTGACTATAAAACTATCCAATTTATGTTCAAAGCCATAAAATAAAAGAATGCGTTTCCTGCACATCCACCCTTACTATGACTCAGGTTTTAAACTGTCCTTTGTCGAGCGTTTTTTCCTCATTGCATCACGAGGCCTCTCTTGTCGAAGGCACTCACCGAACGCTCGATAGTGGTGACTCGGCAACAGATGCTGCTAATGCACACAGTGTGAGCTAAGCGTTTATGCTGATGGCACATTAGGCTTGCGTTTTGACCTACAAGCATCTATTGATTAATGCCTTTAACAAATGTTTACAGCCGCAGTGTTAAGGTTGAGGCTTGTGTGAGGCACGTGTCACGTTACAACACTCACTAGCCATTATAAAAAGCTGTTTTACATTTAAGGAATAAGGTTGTTTGTGGTGAAACCTGTAATTAGTGAGAAGATGGATATTGATTTTCAATAAAGAGATACTCATGATAAGCTTAGCACAAAGAGTGGAACAAGGGGAAATAGATAACAGTGTGACCTTGATCACTCCTTAGATTTGACAAAAAATTATCTAATTGAGTAATTTTTGAAATTACTACGAGGAACTTTCATTTTTGTGTTGATTTTGGCGACCCCTGTGGACAAATGCGGTATTGTTTCCAGTATATCTTAGGTATTGAGGCATCGGTACTCCATTAAGACTGTTTTATTTACAGTTTATTGTCCTTTTAAGTAATTTTAACTTTATATAACATGTACAAATGTTCCTTTGACAGGTCACTATACCTCAAGGGAGGTATCATGCAAGGATATCATTCAGGAGTGTAGTAGGGTTTGAACAAAGTGTCATCTATTAATCCACTACGATGGATACATTATTAATAGTTTTAAATAATATATATATACTATAATGTTTATGTGTTTATGGCAACACGTACTGCGACGCTGTGCATCAGTATGGATCCCGAATAACTCCTTCAGTCATTTGTCAAGTTAAGTGCACCAACAGAAGTGAATCAACCCACTCTGCAGTCAGCAAGATTTCATTTTTCTTAGCAAGCTCGTCTATCCTCAGATGACTTTAGCACTGTTGCTGACACACACACACACACACACACACACACACACACACACACACACACACACACACACACCGGCTGTTTTTCTTTCTTGTGCTTCTGCAGAGATGTGCATTTTGTTGACCTAGCCTATTTCTCTTCTGACTACCGACGTCATGAAGATCTTTAGACATTGCACTAGATTTCAAGAATAGCTGCAGCCTTGAAGGAAACACATTTATTGTGACTGCAGTCGGTGTATTTCCTCAGGGCTTTCTTCTCAAACGGCTTTATGGGATTCAGTGAGAAAGGTGTTTGAAGAAAACATAAGGAAAGGTTTATTGTTGTGTGTTTCATGGAGGCATCTTACAACCACTCTATTTGGCTCGAATATAAGTCATTAACCCGTTTCCACCTGCTCTTTTAGGTAATAAAGAACAGTCTGATTGATTGGTTTCTGTCTCTCTATTCTATTTCCTCCTACAGAAAGAGATCCAGGCCATGAGCCAGTGCCACCACCCCAACATTGTGTCTTACTACACCTCCTTCGTGGTGAAGGATGAGCTGTGGCTGGTCATGAAGCTGCTCGGAGGTAAGTGCATTTCACACACTTCCCCTTGACTCCTGCCTATCAATCTCAATCTTTTTACACAGTTTGTGAACACTCGTCCTTAAAGTCATAATCAGAGGGTCCAGAGCTCTTGGCAGGCGTCCCCTCGCGATGACAGTAGGCAGAGCTGCTGCTAGTGATTGCAGGGATAGTGACGGCACTGATCTTCATTGTGTCCCATGTGAGCTGCAGCTCTTTTCCGGCTTTAACTCGGTAACTAATGACAGGGCAGAGGTAATAACAGCCCCGCAGGCAGCCATGTGGCAGCGCTGCAATTAACTAGTGAGAGGAGCACGAAAAGGAGGCCACCACGGAGAGGAAGAGCGCACAATGCACCCGCTGCATCCGTCTCGTATTGTTTTGTTCGTTATGGAGTGTTTATGGCTCTGGATAAGCCTTTAAGAGTGTTTGAGGCTATAACAGCGCTTAAGGCATGAAGGTGAATGTGACCTAAACAAAGCATTTGACAGGTTTGTGAGGGAGAGCGTCGTCTAACAATGGGAAGATTGATGGTGTGATTCCCAGCTCCTGCAGTCAACATGTCGATGTATCCTCGGGCAAGATACTTATCCCCAAATAGTTCCTGATGGTATGACCGATGGTGTGTGAATGTAAGGTGCCGTTTACACGAGGACAAAACGGCTTGTATCTGCATAGTTTCTCTTACGTATAGCCCTATTATTTACACGAGGCCGTAACAAACGGACCCCACAAACGATAACGGGTCCCAAGGTGGATAGATTTGCAAACGAAACGCTCTGGGGGGGTCAAAGGAGTCCGTGTAATCGCCTCGATACGAATATTTCCTGAAAAAATAACGATAGCCCCGCCTCTCCCCGCCTCTGCTGCTCACTGCTGTAGCATGGCCAGTAGCTACTGCTAGTGCTACTGCTACTGACCATGCTACAGATATTAGTGCAAAATCTACAGCTCCTCTACCACAACCATCAGCAACAAGTGGACATGGAGAATTACATGAACTACATGTTGCTAAATCCACGGCGGGGCGTAAACAGAAGGGTAGCCATGGCAACATTGCTGCGGGGCTGCTCCGGGGTCTTCTTCGCTGCTTTTGGTGTATTTTGTGGCGGAAGTTACAGCGCCACTTACAGTCCCGGCATATGTACTACAGCGTTTCCAGCGGCCTCGTTTGAACAGACACGTTAAATGAAACGAATGCATGTGAACGGAAGACTTTTTTGAAAGTGCATACTGTGCATAAACGCAAACGTTCCCGTGTGCATATGGCCTAAGTCTCCTTGCGTCTACACCTCTTTGGATGAATCCCGACGTGTAAATGTAATCTGAATCAGAATCAGAATTCCTTTATGAGTCCCGCAGCGGGGAAATGTACAGTGTTGCAACAAAAGGTAAAAAAAGGCCTCCAATATAAAGACTTAACAAGTGACACAAGTAACATATTTAAGTGTTGAGACATTATACACGTTTTTGGACAATTTATAAAATGTAAAAGCGCTTTGAAGGATCATAAACGCTGTAAAAACTCTTTCTCAATGCAGTCCTTTTCCCATTTACAAGCAAGAACTACCCTGATAAAAGGAATGGTCTTTAAATTCCTTTTTGTTTCATTTTGTAATCCTGTTTTTCAGTCTCAAACACAAGTCTACACAGACACATGTTTACACCCTCTCATCATGCCCCCCTGTTCAAACAGCGTCCCAGTGTAACGGTTAATGCCCATGTGGCATGCCTTGCTCTCTGGGAAACCCTGGAGCAGCTTGGCAGCCGCCCTGCAGCTGGCGGGCGGGGGGGGGGGGGGGGGGCACAGAGCCCGCCATGCGACGCACGAGCAGCAGGAGCTGACACCACTTCAGACTGCCTCGCTCTCCTTCCCGTTAAACACAGGCCCTTGATGTGGAGTTTTATTGTGCAGAGTAATTAAATGATGGCCATGGCGACGTCTGCCATGGAGACGGGCTTCAAATTAGGTTTATAGACCATCGCTCCACGGGGCAGAGCATACCGTCAGAAACCCTCCACCCTCCGCCTTTGTCCTCTGCTATTGAAACACTGTTAACAGTTGATCTGACAAAGCTGTGGCATGTTTTGATACCCGCAGCGTTTGTATGTAAAGTGCTATGATGGATCACCATTCCTGCAGTACAGGTGTCATTCCTTTTAGAGAAGAATGCTGTCGGACTACGTGACGTTGGTTAAGCAATATTTGTAAAACTCCAAACACACAGAGAGCTCAGTTTATGCAGAATAATTGCAGACATTTCTAAATAACTTAAACGTGTGTCTGGGCTGCCGCAATGCAACCCATACTGATGGCATGCTACATTTGCGATAACGTTTCTTAGCGGTCGGCTGTCGGTATGCCGCTGCTGTTTTATTGGCTTATGGCACTTATAGAAGGTATGTCACTCATGTTGCACTGGCAGATGCCCGGCAGCGTGATACTGAACCCCAGGGTGCACTGCAGCAGTTGCCAGGGCGTATGTGGGAAGATACTGGAGTAGCACAGCTTAATTAAGAACAAAAATGACTTTATTGTTAAGTAAGCAATACATATTTTGTACGGAAAGATAACACGGGACACAGTATGCATGGACATATTTACGTACGTACATGCATACATGTGCCGCCTCATATTTAGCAGGACAGCAGAACTGACCACAATCAGCAGATACAGAATAAAACATACATTTTAGACCGATGCATTTTGTCCGAAGCCTCGAGGATGTTCTGTATTCTTCAAGTTTTTCTGGAGTTTTACTTTTTCAGACTTTTTCTATTCTCCATGCACCTTTTTAAAGTAGTGGAAGTTGAGCTGGAACTCCCCATGGCATCTAGGAACAAAGTTTGTAAGCAAGCAGGAAAGTAAAAAAGATACTCAATGACAGTAGTGGAAGTATGACTGCAACTTGACTAGGGCTGTGCAATTAATCGTATTTTAATCGCAATTACGATTTTGGCCTGCCACAATTACGAAAACAACATAATCGAAAAAAACAATTATTTTGCTTTGCTAGGTTGTGACTGCAACATATTTGATCTAATAAATGTTGGTCTCATTTATTTTTATTTATCATATTTATATGTTTTGTGGAAGTGCGCTCCAAAATATTTGTTGATCTTGTTTATTGGTATTTATTATTTTTGATATTATTTATTTAAATGTAAATATAAATGTATCATTTATTTAATTTATTTTTGTATTGGTTTTTCAGTTGAATTATACGTTCAGGGAAATCAACAGTTAAAAAGATACTGTTCAAATTATTATTTGTATTTGTTTTAAAGTTCAATAAATTGATTTTTTCAAAGTCAATGAATAATCGTATTTAATAATCGTGATATCAATTATTGACCCAAATAATCGTGATTATGATTTTTGCCATAATCGCACAGCCCTAAACTTGACTACCACTGAAAGAGTCCTTCCTTCATCTTTGACACTGTTGTACCCTTGAACCCCCTTTTACAAATAGGAAAGGGTAAGCCTCTTAGATACAAGTCTCAGTGTGTCCGTTTGTGAACTTGTGTATCTTCTATAAAAACCGAATCAATGCCAAACCTATTGCTGAGTTTTTTGCGGTAGGTAGGTGCACTGCTTTTCAAGAAATTCCTGTTCTGATTGTGACATGAGAACAACTGTTTCATTAGAGCGAGGCATAACTTGTCACTGACTGAATACTCCCTGACAGGCAGCCTCTGCTCCCCACTGAGACAGAATATGAGTCACGGTAAAGCAAGCCAGTGCAATGTGTTCCCTGGAGATGAATGCCCTCTCTGGCTCACTTCACCGCTGCCCGGCTCAATTAAAGGCCACTCCATTCAAGGCATTATTGACTGTTTCAATTTAGCATTTGAAAGGACTTGGTGGAGTTTGGAGCCAGTGGATTTGTCACATCATGATGTCACCTTATACTTATGCCAGGAGGCTGACAAAAGAGCTGTGATTGGGACTCAAATACTTCTGTTTGGTTTCCTCGGGGCATTTTCAGTCTCTCTTCTACGCCTTCCACCTATGCCTCTCCCATGCCTCACCCTCCCACTCCCCTTTCCAGCTTCTGCTTGGCATTCCCCATCGGCCTTTAGCACAGTTGGCAGCACCAGCTTTGATCTCCCTCGTCCGCTTTCCCCTCCTCCCTCCTTCCTCACCCCCTCTCTCTCATCCTCTCCCTCGGTCTCAAAGCTCCGGCTCTGACCAGGAGAACGGAAAAGACTAAGTGGGATTTCTCTGGATGAAGTGAGAGTTAAAATGAAATGGCTTTACACCTTCACAGTTTGGGTTAGAAATCCAGAAAAAGACGGGGGGGGGGGGGGGAGATTTGATTAATCCAGCTTGAAACTGAACTGAGGATTTGGCTTTTCCCTGAGTTTTTATTCTCTACTCTTTCAAGACTTACTTTATCCCCTGTGGTTTGTATAACTTTTCCTCTTACGGGTTTGGATAGGCAGCATACAAACCAGGCCAACAGGTGTCATTTCTCTTTTCCCCATGCATAATAAACCTTTGGGTTGTGGAGCTGTCGGCATGTTGGAGCCACCTAATGAAGCGTGGAGAATTCAATCAGATGGATTTGAAAGAGGCTGACATTTAATGATCCTCCAAAGCCTGAACCACGCTGTGTGTGCTGTGCACTTCGAAACATTTTCTCCAATCGGTGCCACCTCAGCTTCAGGGAACTGTGCGTCATTTGTCTGCTTTTGATTATATATGCCAACACTTTCCAATGGAAGTTGAATGAGAAGATTGATATCACTCTACGTTAGGGTTATGCTGCATTCACATGATTGCTTTGCGATGAAAACAGCTATTTAAGTTGCACCTAGTGGGGTTTTTGCTCTTTCCATAGAAGCAAAGTCAATGCTGAGCTGTTTTCCTATTATCATGTGAATACAGCTTTAGGGTTCAACATTTGTCACCCATTGGTTTAATTTAGTCAGTAACCAACCATACTATCTGCAGTTTTTAATCTTCTCACCTAATTCTAGCAATTCCCAATGTGTCTTTTATTTCTTTTTCAATAAACAGGGTTGTCATTTTTCATATGCAGTCGAGTAAACAGGGATAGGTTCCTGCACATTACCTTAATCGCCTCTCTCTCGTGTATTCAAACCTTTAATTTGTTGCCTCATTAGGACTACATCTCCCCCTTCTCTTCACTAACCCTCCTTCCCTCAGCACCCTCTCCATTGTCCCCTCCCCTCCTCCTCCCTCGCACCATTTCACAAAAAAGCGATGAGCATCAGTCTGAGTGCAGAAGCATTGAGAGAGGAGAGAAAAGGTCTCCCTTTCCTCAAAGAGCCGTCGCATCAGAGACATTCCTCTCACACGTTCTCTATCTCTACGCTCAGACACACTGCCTTTCCAAAGCCGTCCTCTCTTTGAAGGGTTTTCACTGCTGAATCACATTTTCTGCCGTGCACCGTCACTCTAAACGAACCCGATGAACCCACCGTCTCTCCCTCCCTCCCTCCTCTCTCGCTCTGCCTCCGTCTCGCTCTCTGCAATAACGCTGTCTAGTCTCAGTTGGCTCGTCTCTCCCTTAGCCCAACGCTAAAACGCAATCAATTCAGTCCTGGAAGTGTGTGTGTGTGTGTGTGTGTGTGTGTGTGTGTGTGTGTGTGTGTGTGTGTGTGTGTGTGTGTGTGTGTGTGTGTGTGTGTGTGTGTGTGTGTGTGTGTGTGTGTGTGTGTGTGTGTGTGTGTGTGTGTGTGTGTGTGTGTGTGGTGTGTGTGTGTGTGTGTGTGTGTGGTGTGTGTGTGGGTGTGTGTGTGTGTGTGTGTGTGTGTGTGTGTGTGTGTGTGTGTGTGTGTGTGTGTGTGTGTGTGTGTGTGTGTGTGTGTGTGTGTGTGTGTGTGTGTGTGTGTGTGTGTGTGTGTGTGTGTGTGTGTGTGTGTGTGTGTGTGTGTGTGTGTGTGTGTGATTGTCCAGCAAATAGAGTGGGGCAGTAATGAGTCCTTAAACCCGGAAATTAGTAAGCCTTTTTACCATTTCCTGTTCCCTCGTCTCAAAGTCAGTTTTTCCAACGTGTTTGTTGTCTGAAATACGATCTGTGGTTAACACAAGATGGAGAGATTTTCATGTTTTGTTCTACGACATGAAATACAACAGTAAGTACCCCACTCTTGAATATCCCCAGCTTTAATGATGAAGTCATGTGACTCTGTAGTTTGTTTAAAGCATCACGCCTTTCATTCCTGCCGAAGTGTTGTTAATACGTGGAGATGATCCTGCTTCCTACATGTTGAATATCAATTACACGTGATGGCCACAGAGCTTATTTTCTGCAATATACCAAGATCCGATTCCATTGCTTTTTTATCAAGGGAGCACTTTGTGACCCTAACTTCCAGATCGGCTTACAAAGATATGTCATCACTGCACCAGGAATCTATTCTTAAGGCATTAAAAGCACGTTAAATAAGATTCGCATACAGTGTACGATTTGGAGAACTCAGTCAGGCTGTAATGATGCTGTCGACAGGAGTAATGACATGACTCTGACAGCAGCCATGCTGGTTTTAACTGGGCAAATATTCTGACTTCCAGCTGTGCGCTCGATGGAAAACCTAAAAGAAAAATCCTGGAAGCTTCCAGTCTAATTTAGAGTCAATGGTCCAAACAAAATGTCTCCTAATGACATGCTAAATAAGACACTGACTTTCCTTTTTAATATCATGGAAAGCACAACATTTATTATTTTTTACCCTCTAAGGAATGCATGTTGTGATTTCTCTTTCTGCCATTGGCTTGTTTTGCCCTCGCCACATTGAAAGGTCCTGCTGGTTGAAGGATTGTGTCTTAGCAGCTAAATCGTTTGTTTTTCCCTTCATTAAAATCCATCTAACTGGAGCTGGAAAAAAGGATCTTTGTGTACCCACAATCTAATTTACCCAAACAATATGAGATTAAACATGACTCATCTGAATGTCCAGCAGGAAGCTTGTCTCTTTGCACAGAGGGGACACATGTTGATGTAGAGGAGACATGGAGAAGAGGGGACACATGTTGATGTAGAAGAGACATGAAGAAGAGGGGACACATGTTGATGTAGAAGAGACATGAAGAAGAGGGGACACATGTTGATGTAGAAGAGACATGAAGAAGAGGGGACACATGTTGATGTAGAAGAGACATGAAGAAGAGGGGGACACATGTTGATGTAGAAGAGACATGAAGAAGAGGGGACACATGTTGATGTAGAAGAGACATGAAGAAGAGGGGACACATGTTGATGTAGAAGAGACATGAAGAAGAGGGGACACATGTTGATGTAGAAGAGACATGAAGAAGGGGGGACACATGTTGATGTAGAAGAGACATGAAGAAGGGGGGACACATGTTGATGTAGAAGAGACATGAAGAAGAGGGGACACATGTTGATGTAGAAGAGACATGAAGAAGAGGGGACACATGTTGATGTAGAGGAGACATGGAGAAGAGGGGACACATGTTGATGAAGAAGAGACATGAAGAAGAGGGGACACATGTTGATGAAGAAGAGACATGAAGAAGAGGGGACACATGTTGATGTAGAAGAGACATGAAGAAGAGGGGACACATGTTGATGTGGAAGAGACATGAAGAAGAGGGGACACATGTTGATGTAGAAGAGACATGAAGAAGAGGGGACACATGTTGATGTAGAAGAGACATGAAGAAGAGGGGACACATGTTGATGTAGAAGAGACATGAAGAAGAGGGGACACATGTTGATGTAGAAGAGACATGAAGAAGAGAGGACACATGTTGATGTAGAAGAGACATGGAGAAGTGGATTTTGCATAATAGGTGACCTTTAAAGATACATGGTTATTTCTTTTATTAATCTCTTTCTTGTTGTTATTCTCCAGGCTCCGTTCTGGACGTGATAAAGCACATCATCTCGCGGGGCGAACACAAGTCGGGCGTCCTGGACGAGGCCAGCATCGCCACGGTGCTGAGGGACGTTCTGGAGGGTCTGGAGTACCTGCACAAGAACGGGCAGGTCCACAGGTAACAAAACACACAGATCCACAGGTAACAAAACACACAGATCCACAGGTAACAAAACACACAGATCCACAGGTAACAAAACACATAGATCCACAGGTAACACAACCCACGACCCGCACGCTGCCACGGTAATAAAAACCAACACAGGACTTTCTGTTAACGCTAAGCTAAAGCAGAGTCTGTGCCAGACCTCACCTTGAGGGTTTATGGAGCTGAAACGGTCTCTTCTCTTGTGCGACACTTAAAAACGTCGTAATAATATTATGGCTCCCACCTTGACTATATGGGACAAGAGGAATCTGTTTTTTTTATTTGTGTTTGTGTTGCTTTGTTTCTCAAGCACAGAGGCTGATTGCTGATTTTCTGGGAAATCCATAGTTAGATGTTTTTCAGATACAGATTTCCTTTCATTATTACAGTGTAAACATTTAAACATGTTATTGGACGAGTAAACCACTAATGCAAACTCTCATGGTGCTCGTAGTTGTACTTTTTACCATAACTGGGTTTTCACGACGGCTGTCAGCTGTTTTTACTCCTCTCATTCAAACAGGATGCGCTGGAGAGGGGGCGGGGCTTATATCCATGTAAATACTGTGGTGGAAACCAACTACGACAAAATTAACCTATTTTACCGTGATTTAATTGTAATACACGTTTCAAAATGATGCCGAAGTAACTACATACTGATAACGGTTAGTAAAAACCATGAATTAATGCTTTGACAAGTGTGCAGACAAGACAGCAGGAGAAAAACCTTTTTTAAATGCGTGTTTTCTGAATGGAAATCGGATCGATCAGGCTAAACTAACGTTGTAGCTGCTCCGTCCAAACTCACAACAACGTCCTAAAGACAGAATTAAAGCAGCGACTGTATTCGCCATGACACACACACACACACACGCACAGACTTTGCGTGCTTCATATAGTATTGCTTGTTCATACAGTTGAATGTTGGAGCTTCACTGTGCACTGCTGACCGATGTATGTGCAGAGTTTGACCCTTGAAGGCTGTTTCTTCTGCTCTGAAATTGAATATATTTGTTACATATTAATAGATTTTTAGATTTGATTTCGGATTTGTGAATGGGAGAAGTAGTAGATGGAAAAACATACCAAACAAACACTAATTATTCAAAGTAAAGTATTTCATTTTATATACGGTAATACTAAGGAGGCATAGGCCTATATGATGATATAATGTTTGACATTATTGATATTAAAAAAGTGATTTGTTTTTCTTATCAGAAAGTGAAGTTATTTATTTGTAAGCTGCAAATCCTAATTCTTCCCTCAATGGCCTGTGTGCCCTGGCATGTGTCCTTTCCGCCCTGAAAAAACGTGACACACCAAACTGCGACTTATTGACTCATGACATGCCCCTTATCACTATGTGGTATCTGATGTCGTCATACGCAGTGATTTCATCAAATATTTCCTCGGTCTTAGTCAAAAATATGAGTCAAATGAATGCCAACCTATGCAAATAAATTCATGACTTAAGTAAAAATACATTGGCATTCTTCATATGACTGTACCGAGGAAGTGGCATTTAAAGACAGCCACTTTCCTAAAGGTCACGCTGGTTTAGAGATGAGGCGGTACACTTCGAGAAAGCTGTATTTATGGGTTTATGCTTTACCACTAATGAAATTAACTAACTTCTTTATGATTAATTCAAAAGCTGTTTTTATTTAAAGTTAGTCCAAGACATGTGTAAATGCCACGGGAAATGTATCCAGAAATCTCTCTACACCAACACTTACATTCAAGCTGTTACTTCTGTATTTATTACCTCGCCAAAAGTGTAAATAATGCACATATTTTCGGTTTTGGTAAAGTCCTCAACAGATAGACGTTTGATTTGAGAATCTGACCATGTGCTTGTATGTGAAGACGAATCCTCAACTCATTAAATTCTTAATTAGAAAACGGCAGCATCCTATAGATAGTATAAGTAGAGACGTATGGAATTACACTGTTTCAATTACTGTGTTAATTAAACGGATAATACCTCTGCTGCAGCTTTACAGTATCACTTTCAGCTTAATGTGACGGGGTCAGAGTCCAACCTGCCTTCTGATCCCTGCCCCGTCTAAAGAGACATTAATAGAACAATCATTTATCACTTCTGCTCTGAGGGGTGACGTGTGAAAGAGGTATTCCCTCTGCACTGAGAATCATTGGTGTCTGCTAATGTAAATATGGATGTGTTCCTCCTGTGTAATCTGGATCATATGGGGGAGGGGTGATGGAGAGAGTGAAGGGGGTGATTGTGATTTGATTTTCAGATGTGTAAAACAATAATACAAAAATGTAAGCAGTGTCAAATTTGATATACAAAAATAAATAAATAAACCGTAAACACCCAGTTATGATTAAACAGTTCCATCCCTGTATCTTGTTAAAAGCATGTCCTTATACCTATTTTTAAACAGTTTTACGTTAGGACATCCCTTGGTGAGACTTAACGAGGGGGGAGCAAGTGTCACATGACTGCTCCATCCCACAGAAAAGCAATTAGAGCCTCGCAGCCGAGCTGTAGCCTCGACCGGAGACATTTACCACCCGAGAGAGAAGTGCTCCACCTCCACATTCACAGAGACTCAAAGCTGACACGTGTCCTCTAAGCAGAGAGGGCAACACATGCTTTACTCAAGTAGAAGTACAGATACTCGTGTTTAAAAATACTCTGGTAAAAGTAGAAGTACTGACTAAACTTCTTTACTCAAGTAAAAGTAAAGAGGCTTTGAAATGTACTTCAGTAAAAAGTACCCATAACTAGCAGCTGTTTTAAAGAGTACCTGACCTCCCTTTATATTAATAGAACAATAATGTCATTGTTAGCTAATGAATGTTTCCATGCTGAACAACGGCAACATGACAACGTTTTCATTGGTCCCTCTTCTTTAGAGAAGACCAGGAAATGATGGATACACGGATCGTGTTCAAATCAATAGGCACGCAATGACTCTAAATAATAATGATCACGCCACCAAACACACATTCAAACTAAAGGAACCAGCCTGTTTGGGAAATGTAAGAAGTAGAAAGTACAGGTATTTGGGTTCAACATGTAAGAAGTAGAAAGTACAGGTATTTGGGTTCAACATGTAAGAAGTAGAAAGTACAGGTATTTGTGTTCAACATGTAAGAAGTAGAAAGTACAGGTATTTGTGTTCAAAATGTGAGAAGTAGAAAGTTCAGGTATTTGTGTTCAACATGTAAGAAGTAGAAAGTACAGGTATTTGTGTTCAAAATGTAAGAAGTAGAAAGTTCAGGTATTTGTGTTCAACATGTAAGAAGTAGAAAGTACAGGTATTTGAGTTCAACATGTAAGAAGTAGAAAGTACAGGTATTTGAGTTCAACATGTAAGAAGTAGAAAGTTCAGGTATTTGTGTTCAACATGTAAGAAGTAGAAAGTACAGGTATTTGTGTTCAAATGTAAGAAGTAGAAAGTACAGGTATTTGTGTTCAAATGTAAGAAGTAGAAAGTACAGGTATTTGGGTTCAACATGTAAGAAGTAGAAAGTACAGGTATTTGTGTTCAAAATGTAAGAAGTAAGTGATGTGTGTCTGCCATGGGAAAACCAAAATGTTGCGTAAATCGAACTACAATGAAAACAGCAGGTAATCATGGCTGATACTTAGAGACTTCCTAGTCATTTCGCTCCGTAAGAATCCTTCCTGAGCAACCTAGATTTCGCCAGACGAATCAGAGGAAATCCGTCTGAAGATTGAATTATTGTTAAGCTCTTTTGTGTGGAGCTTTAAGCCGTTCTCACCTCTTAACCTCCCGTCTTCTGGAGCTATGGGAGGCAGATTACTGGATGTGAGCTTCAGTAATAATCAGCTAATGGCTGCGGTTATGTCGCCTCTGGGAGATCCTTTTGTGGAGAATTGACAAAACAAGATTTTCAATTGATCTGATGAGATGAAACTCAGCAGAAAGGAGAAAGCAATCAAAGCAGAGAAGCAAAGGGAGGTTGTTTTTGAGGAACGGGAGGTATTTTCGTGGGTATAGGAGACCCTTAGGGCGTCTCGTAAAGCCTCTTTTCACCAGGATGTGATGTCACACGAGGTGCCGGAGCTGCCAGATGAGGAGGATCAATCTTCCTGACACTTTCATACCGCTCTGTTCCAACTTCCCACCTGGCTATCATTTCAGCAGATCGTAAATATGTGGAGGCCAGTGCAGTCCGAAGTGCTTCACATAGACATTTCACAGAACATTGATATCACACAGAATACAGATACCCGTAAAAGACATACATACAAACTACACATATCATAGAGTAGACATATATAAAAAATACATTTAGATTAAACGATGAAATTGTACATTAAAGTAGATTTATTCAAGTACTGTACTTAAGTACAATCTTGAGGGTTTTTATTTGAGTATTTCAATTTCATACTTCTACTCCACTACAATTCAGAGGTTAATGCGAACCTCATTTAGTTACTTTACAGATGTGGATGAATGATGTGAAATATAATCAAGTGTTAAATCAGACTTTAGTTCCACCTGGAGTAAATTCACAAGCTACCCTGCAGTATACAAAGTCATTCAAACTAGCTGCACCTTTACCAGCTTTGAGAACACTTTCATGATCAATCATTATAAAACATATCATATATATTATTCTGAAATGGACCAATCTGCACAATGACTACTTTTACTGTCGCTACTTTAACTATATTTTGATGATAATACTTTTATACTTTTACTTGAGGAACATTTTGAATGCAGGACTTTTACTGTAACAGAGTATTCCTACACTCTGGTACTTCTACTTTTCCTCAAGTACAAGATCTGAATACTTCTACTTTTACTAAAGTACAAGATCTGAGTACTTCTACTTTTACTCATGTACAAGATCTGAATACTTCTACTTTTACTCATGTACAAGATCTGAATACTTCTACTTTTACTCAAGTACAAGATCTGAGTACTTCTACTTTTACTCATGTACAAGATCTGAGTACTTCTACTTTTACTCGAGAACAAGATCTGAGTACTTCTACTTTTACTCAAGTACAAGATCTGAGTACTTCTACTTTTACTCAAGTACAAGATCTGAGTACTTCTACTTTTACTCAAGTACAAGATCTGAGTACTTCTACTTTTACTCAAGTACAATATCTGAGTACTTGTACTTTTACTCAAGTACAAGATCTGAGTACTTCTACTTTTACTCAAGTACAATATCTGAGTACTTCTACTTTTACTCAAGTACAATATCTGAGTACTTCTACTTTTACTCAAGTACAAGATCTGAGTACTTCTACTTTTACTCAAGTACAAGATCTGAGTACTTCTACTTTTACTCAAGTACAATATCTGAGTACTTCTACTTTTACTCAAGTACAAGATCTGAGTACTTCTACTTTTACTCAAGTACAATATCTGAGTACTTCTACTTTTACTCAAGTACAATATCTCAGTACTTCTACTTTTACTTACTTACTTGTACTTCTCCCTCTGCTGAATCACGACTATAGGAGTTAAACTGCAGTTTCCTCTCAACTACAGTATTTCTGTGATCTTGCATTGTCACCTCCTCCTCTTCCACCTCCTCCTCCTCCTCTTCCACCACCACCACCTCCTCCACCACCTCCTCCTCCACCTCCTCCTCCTCCTCTTCCACCACCACCACCTCCTCCACCACCTCCTCCTCCTCCTCCTCCTCCTCCTCCTCTTCCACCACCTCCTCCTCCTCCACCACCTCCTCCTCCTCCTCCTCCACCTCCTCCTCCTCCTCCTCCTCTCCATTGAATGTTAATGACTGTCTGCAGCCTTTTCCCTCGGAGCATTACAATCTGCTGCAGTGAACCGAAGCCTTCGTGCTTTTTGAATGAATGCCAAAGGACCTCAGATCACCTCGACCTCTCTTTGTGAACGATGACACGCCGTGGGTTCAGAGTGGAGCGTGTCAAATCCACATTAACGCAATAATGAGATCATGTTTCTCAGTGTAAACGATGTAATTGGTGAATTTAAAGCTCATTAGTATAGAGATGTATCTAAGTGGTGAGTAATGCTCCTAATTCATATCCTGTCGTTTACATTTATTGCAATTTAGCACCACTAAGAGTGCAATTCGCTAATCGACCGTAGCGTTACGCCTACATTTGTTTGGATTTCTTATGAATGATCAGTGTGTTTTAAGCTCTTCATCATTGGCATAAAAACATGTTTCTTCAACCAGCATTGGGTCAACTTTCCGACATGTTTCCAGAAGCATCCTCAGCTATTGTTCTCGCCAAATGTTGGAAGAAATATGATCAAAGTAACGTCAGCGTGGCCTGAACTGAACCCGTTGAAATGCAGCACATAATTAGCTAACCCCTGACTCACAGGAAGCCGTGACTGGACCCACTGAGAGAGGACGCTGTGGTCGTGTGAACCAGGAGAAGTATTTTGGGTTAGACTAGCCTTTCAGCCTCAGGTGGTCTTCCTCTGTGCAACCCTTAAAAAGCAACTTCTCAAATGACCAGGCGTAACGTTTGACACCCCTGGTCTAGACCTTATCAAAGTTTGGAGACATGTAGAACACAGACACTCTTTCTCCCTGAAAACACTTGAATAGTTGTATCATCCCTGCAGATATTTGCCCTCCACTGGGAATCCCCATGCTTTGCTTCTTTCAGTCAAAGGTCCTAATATGTCCCGTATGCTGCATTCCTCCGTGTGAGGCTCACTGTGTACCACTCCCTGTCTCTGTGAGATCTGCTGTCACAGTCCTCGCAAATAATCTGAAGAATTCACCAGCAATCGAACAAATATCTGAACCCTAACTTTGCGAACTCTTAAAAGAAGCCCTGTTGTGCTTTTTTCCCTTTCCTGTAGTGTGTTATATCGGTTTTGTTGTGCATGTAAATGGTCTGAAAAGGCTCAAACCCCTGTGTGTTAAACTACAGACACCACCTTGTCTCCTTTTTTGCTTCCAAACCTCATTAAGTCATTAGAATATCGGGATCCTTGGGTCGTTACAGCATGCATTTCAAAGTTGTCAGCATGCTTCAGCAGTATTCCTGTCTGAGAACAAGAATATCTCCAAACCACAATTACCTCTGCGGCATTTAACCCCCCCCCCGGTGTATCTGCTGTTTGGCGAAGTCTATAAGGATTAAATTATACACCAGATAAAGTGAGGCTTTGTTTCTGGGAAGCTGAGTCATCTCCAAAGCAATACTCCAAAGACACATCTATTTTTACTTTCATTGAGAGCCATTTGTTAGCTGGAAATATCCCACAGCATGTCTCTGTCAGTGCAATCTGACATGACTCTACTGCCCCCACCTGGTAGCAGGAGGAACTGCATCTCTTGTTGTCAGTCCAGTTTTAAGAGGTGATTCTTCTGTGCTAATGAAATCTGTTAGAAGGCGTTGTGTCAGTGCTCCGGGGGTTGTGTGTCAAATCCCTCCTCCCATTATTCTCTTTTGAAAAGCTCTTCCTAAAAAGCCTGGACATCCTCTGTGACACCGCCGCCATCCTCGCCTTTTTATTCCCACTTGACCCTTTCCACTTTCATCACGGAGAGTCTGTCACTATGACAACAGTGTCTGGCTGGTGAGGTGGCAGACAGACATCCCCTCTGAGTCCTCTTATCACCACCAGGGGAGGATGAACAGGGACGAACACATGAACTACAGACTGTCTTGAGTTGCTAATACATCTAAAATAAGAGTAGCGGAAAGATGAATCCTATTTCTTGTATGGAGAAGTAGAAAATACAATACAGCTTTATTTATAAAGTGCTGTACAGTCAAACAAAACATCACAAAACAAATCACACAGCTCAGCTCACACACCGTAAACAAGTACAAGTCAAAACCGTAGGCAATTTAAAAGCAACAATCTACAAGATGTCAATACGCTAAGGAGGAGAGGTGGGGTTTCAGAAGGGATTTAAACATCCCTAAAAAAGACAATATACTAAGGTAGCATAAACTCAGGTAGTATTTCAAATAACTTGTGTCCTTTTTTTAATGTTTGAACTCTTGTCTTTCACAGAGATGTTAAGGCTGGAAACATTCTCCTCGGAGACGACGGTTCAGTGCAAATTGCAGGTATTTACCCGTCAACGCCAACCGAGATTTAAAATGTCTGTTTATGTTTGTTTGCAGCCCGTATTAAACTGCCAAGTGCCAATGGTGTATTTATGCATAGGAAGCCTTGTCCGTGGAGGAAAGCGAACCCTTATTGACTTCCTGCTTCAGGTCCTTTCACTGTGCTTCTTTCTAAATGAATACTCTCCGTTTCCCTTCTTCAGATTTTGGCGTCAGTGCCTTTCTAGCAACAGGTGGTGACATGACTAGGAATAAAGTGCGCAAGACGTTTGTGGGAACGCCGTGCTGGATGGCCCCCGAGGTCATGGAGCAGGTTGGACAGAAAACTCACAACTTTTATCAAAACAAATCTATTTAAATTGCTCAAAAAGCTGCTGTTTTTCTTTGATTACCTTGCTGACACTATTGTCAAAATGTAAGGCCTATAGCAGGGGTTTTCAAAGTGTGGGAAGGTGAGCCTCCCCTCAGAGAACATAAGAACAGCCGCGCCCCCCCCTCCCAATTATTATTATTATTGTTGTTGCTATAATGCAGCGGTATTCAATTGCATCTCAAAGTGTGTGTGTGTGTGTGTGTGTGTGTGTGTGTGTGTGTGTGTGTGTGTGTGTGTGTGTGTGTGTGTGTGTGTGTGTGTGTGTGTGTGTGTGTGTGTGTGTGTGTGTGTGTGTGTGTGTGTGTGTGTGTGTGTGTGTGTGTGTGTGTGTGTGTGTGTGTGTGTGTGTGTGTGTGTGTGTGTGTGTGTGTGTGTGTGTGTGTGTGTGTGTGTGTGTGTGTGTGTGTGTGTGTGTGTGTGTGTGTGTGTGTGTGTGTGTGTGTGTGTGTGTGTGTGTGTGTGTCACTGAACCCATTTGATTGGCTGAGTAGCGTCACCTCCTTAAAACATTAAACCACAACTTTTTTTAAACATTTTTATCTGTATGTTTTAAACATTTTCAACATCGTGGATAAATCCTTCTATGCTCCCGGCAACACACTGAACGCCAACTTTGCCCCCTTATTACACTCACCCCTACTTTAGTGGGAACAATGAGTCTGCGTCTTTGATGCTCTCAGGCGGATGATGCGGGGATGCAATGTAGACAGGAATAAACGCAGATCATCCTCTGGCTGCAGCCTTGACCGGTACTGGCTTTTGATCAAAGTAAGTATTATTACAATTAAAATGTAAGGGCGGTGCCGGCCGTCAACGGCCCGCTGACGACCGGCCGTTCTGTGATTCTCCAGAACACACAGATGGCCAGTCCGCCCCTGCCAGGACCGGTCCATGGAAATCCTAGCTTCAAATATTCGTGGTCATACTTCCTCCGTTTTCTGCCAGACGCCGTCTCCTCTCTCACTTTAGGTAACTTCACTAAAAATCGATCCGTGTTGCCGCTCGCATAAAGTTGGCTGAAGTTAACCGGCTAGATTTCACTGTTTCTCGTTATTTTTTTCTCACGCCGCGCCCCCCCTGAAGCTCTCTGGCGCCCCCCCTGAAGCTCTCTGGCGCCCCCCCCGGGGAGGCCCGCCTCACACTTTGAAAACCGCTGGCCTATAGTTTATGTCCTATATTGTAAAGCGCTTTGAGTGCCTTGAAAAGCGCTCTAATAAAGAATGTAAGGAATTATTATTATTTCCTATATTAAATTGTTGGAAGAGCAAAAAGAAAAATGTTTCCCATAACTGTGTGTCTCTCTTTTCAATATGAGATGAAGGTAATATATGTTTCTTTTTCCACAGGTGAGGGGTTACGACTTCAAAGCAGATATCTGGAGTTTCGGCATCACAGCCATCGAGCTTGCCACGGGGGCCGCACCTTATCACAAATACCCTCCGATGAAGGTGAGGACACTGTGGAGCTTTCCTACTTAATGAGTTAATGACACGGAGCAAATGCCATCTTTGACTTCCTGTAAACGCAGCTCACGAGATTCCAAAGGTCGGTGACATTTGAGTAACGCTGTGTCTCCAGGTCTTGATGCTGACGCTGCAGAACGACCCCCCCGCTCTGGAGACCGGCGTCACGGACAAAGAGATGGTGAAGAAATACGGCAAATCCTTCAGGAAGATGATCTCCATGTGTCTACAGAAGGACCCGGAGAAAAGGTGTGGGTTGTCTTTAAGAATACCTCTCAAAGTCAAAGTCTACTTTATTGTCAATATTTCAGTTTGTGTGTACAGACGGAGAGATCGAAATACCGTTTCCCACAATCCCGAATACAATAACAATGACTCGTTTGTTGCTGTTTTCCAGGCCGACTTCCATAGAGCTGTTGAAGCATAAATTCTTTCAGAAAGCAAAGGTAGGTTCTTCTTTAGCTCCCTGCGGACCTGAGAGTCAGCGAGTCAGCGTTTTAATCCTGCTGATAAATAGCATCTGAAGAGTTTCAAATGAAGCGGCTCTTTGTAGGTTGTTTATGTATCATAATGCATCACAAGATGAACATTAACCAACTACTCTCCCTGAGGTGTTTGGTTCAGGTGTTTCTAACAAAAGCAGAGATAAGCAGTGAAACTCCAGCTCTGGCTGCACACCACCCTAAAAACTGGGACAACTAGAGTGCCGTCTCAGCATGTCTCACTGCACAAACACAATCTGATTGGTTTGCATGGCCTTTATCTGGACCTGCAGTACACTGTGTGGCCAGCAGAGGGCAGGCGTTGTGGTTCTTTTAGATAAGGTACATTTATATTAATGAGCAAACCTGCAGAAGGGATTTAAATGGCTGTCGAGCAATCTGTGATTCTTGATTTGCTCAGATTCAAAGTTGTTATTGTCACCAGCAATGTTAGTAAGACATTTCGTCTGTTGCCATCAGGGCGAAGATATGCTCGACCTGCTCTAAAGACTAATCGCTTTTCCAAATCATTCATCCCTTCTGCACTCAGACTTTTAAATTCTTGAAAGGCTTTTAACTTGATTATTTATTTATTTATTTATTTATTTATTTATTATTGTGATGCTATGAACTATTTATCGTGTAAATTGGAATGATCCAAATCTGTGCTCCTGGGTGTATCTGTGTGTTTTCTTCCTGTATGTTCCTGCCTGTGGACATGACATAATTGCCCCTTGCGGTAGGACTGTGCAATTAATCGTATTTTACAATTACGAAAACAACATAATCGAAAAAAACAATTATTTTGCTTTGCTTGGTTGTGACAGTGCACTAGAACATATTTGATCTAATTTTTTCAAAGTCAATGAATAATCGTATTTAATAATCGTGATATCAATTATTGACCCAAATAATCGTGATTATGATTTTTGCCATAATCGCACAGCCCTACCTTGCGGGATCAATAAAGTTGTTGATTGATAAGGAAATAAAATAGTGTAATAAAAAGTAAAATGCAGAGTTTAGTAGACTATGTGTATGTAAGATTGGTCCAAATCTGCGTATACTGTATCTCACTGTTGGTAACAAAAGTTCATTTGACCGTCAAAGTAGGAATGTTGGGATTAAAGTGAGTAAAATACAGCTTTTCATCCAACCAGGGTTGCAAACAATAAGCAGGAATTGATATACAAAAGACAGCATTACCAGAAGTAATTAGGTTTTGAAACTAAAAAGACCTGACCCTCAGTGTGTCTTGCACCTTGAGCGCTGGGCATAAAGGGGGTGATGACCTGACCTACATGAGGTCACTGGTGGTGGAGCCCTATTCTGCAAGGATTCAAAAGTCATTATTGGATTAAATTCACAACTTGACATGAAGCCAGTGGAGCTAAGAGTGTTAGTAAAGCACATTATAGGTCACAGTTAAATGACTGAATCATTAATCAGATTATTTCCTTTCCTCCTAACAGACTCATGAATATCTACACGACAGGTTGCTGCAGAGAGCGCCCACAATAACAGAGAGGTCGAAGAGGGTAAGACGTGAGCGGTTTGAATCTACTCTCTGTGCTTTTATTAAACGTCACCTATTGTACAAAATCCTCTTCTTCATGTCTCTTCTACATCAACATGTGTCCCCTCTTCTTCATGTCTCTTCCACATCAACATGTGTCCCCTCTTCTTCATGTCTCTTCTACATCAACATGTGTCCCCTCTTCTTCATGTCTCTTCTACATCAACATGTGTCCCCTCTTCTTCATGTCTCTTCTACATCAACATGTGTCCCCTCTTCTTCATGTCTCTTCTACATCAACATGTGTCTCCTCTTCTTCATGTCTCTTCTACATCAACATCAACATGTGTCCCCTCTTCTTCATGTCTCTTCTACATCAACATGTGTCCCCTCTTCTTCGTGTCTCTTCTACATCAACATGTGTCCCCTCTTCTTCATGTCTCTTCTACATCAACATGTGTCCCCTCTTCTTCATGTCTCTTCTACATCAACATGTGTCCCCTCTTCTTCATGTCTCTTCTACATCAACATGTATCCCCTCTTCTTCATGTCTCTTCTACATCAACATGTGTCCCCTCTTCTTCATGTCTCTTCTACATCAACATGTGTCCCCTCTTCTTCATGTCTCTTCTACATCAACATGTGTCCCCTCTTCTTCATGTCTCTTCTACATCAACATGTGTCCCCTCTTCTTCATGTCTCTTCTACATCAACATGTGTCCCCTCTTCTTCATGTCTCTTCTTCATCAACATGTGTCCCCTCTTCTTCATGTCTCCTCTTCATCAGCATGTGTCCCCTCTTCTTCATGTCTCTTCTTCATCAACATGTGTCCCCTCTGTGGAAAGAGACTCTGAAAGTTTCAGGAACAAAGATTCTCTCTCTTTTTGTCCTGATCCATTTTTATAAAAACCTGTCTGAAAACGAGCTGATCAGATTTTGGCCACTTGATGATGTCATAGCGATGTTTTGTCTTGTGTAACCATTAGCCAATCAGCAACCAAGGTAACCCCCCCCCCCCCACCTTATCACCTGAATCTCCTCCTAGAGCACCATTGTGTTCTTTGTAACCAAATCTCTCTCAGAGGGGCGTGGGGAGGGGCTCCTTATTTTCATCTAAAGTAACAGACAGAGAATCAGCACTTTGGAAACAGGGCTGAAACAGAGGGGATTATGGGATGCTGCGATGATCTGTTTGGTGTTTCAGCCAATCAGAGACAGGCTCTGGATATATGTGAGACCTATAATATATTGATGAAAAACAGTACAATAGGGGACCTTTAAAGGAGAGGAGCTCAGCTGTGTTTCCTGTGTGTCCTCAGGTACGCAGAGTTCCAGGCTCAAGCGGTCGGCTTCATAAAACGGAGGATGGAGAGTGGGAGTGGAGCGACGACGAGCTGGACGAAGAGAGTGAAGAGGGCCAAGCAGCCATCGCTGCCTTAAGGGTGAGAGACACAGCAAGAGACACAGCAACCCTCAGACAGGAAGTTATTAAACCCTCAGACAGGAAGTTCATTCCAGATTCAAGGCTTTTATTGTCATTCGTAGCTACAGTGTAGATATGTCAATGAAAATCTGAGGTCCCAGGCTCCTCCAACAGAGCAACAGACAAAATAGTTAAAATGGTGTAAGTAAATGCAAATAAAATAGAATAGAAATAGTGCGAGGAGAGTCTATATATAAGTCTTATTATAATTATTATTAATTATATATATATATATATATTCTTCGACTATATATATATATATATATATATATATATAGTCGAAGAGATTCAGAACAATGGTTGCGTCAGTTCCTGTTTCTGTCTGTTTTGTCCCGAAGCGTCGCCCTGTATTTTCAATCTCTATACGATGTTTAAAGTGTCATTCCCATGTCTGTGCAGTAGCATGTGTGTCCTTTGTCTCTCCACTGAGTGTGTGTGTGTGTGTGTGTGTGTGTGTGTTTGTGTGTTCTGTCTGACGGCCAAGGAGAAGCAGGTGAAGCCTGTTAGTGCCACCAGGCGACAAGTGCGCTTCACCCTCCCTCTGGAGCTGCCCACACACAGGGTTGTTCACTCGCACCACGATACAGATGGCATTCCCCTAACAAGGAAGCACTCTCAAGCACGTTAGCTTTAGCGCTAGTAGCAGCTATAGAGGGCGGGAAACACTTGATAAGGAGGTTGTTGTTAGAGATTCAAAGGCTTTATTGTCATATGCACAGTACAGTGTAGATATGGACATGGAAGTATTAAGTCCAGGGCTCCTCAAACAATGCAACATATTTAAAAAACAGTAGTGATAGTAATATTGCAAGAAGAAACCGAGTAGGATAAAATAGTGCAAGATTATGTTGCAAGACCAATGTGAAAGTAATGCAGATGAGGTTAACATCTGTAAACATGTCAAAAATGTAATGAATAAATACAATAAGCTCAATAAGCTAAGTATCTAGATCACATACGCTTTCATAAGCACTGAATGCTATTTTTTTTTACATATTTTGTAAAAGTTAAGTCCACATAACTACATTCATACATTTGTTAGATACCTCTTTTTTAAAAGCTTAAACGCTACTTTGAGTGTGAATTAACATTTGTTTAAAGACGTGAGAGTACCTTTCCTGGAAGCCATCTGTATTTCCATCCCTCTTTCTAAATCACTTGTAATGAATACTGACCAGATCACAAGGCAAATTACTTATCAACCCTGTTTTTAATTACAGCACTAATCAAGGGATTCAAATTTGACCAAATCTTTTCTGCTTTGATGCTTTTCTGGCAAAAATGTGCTCTTTTGGTTTTGCTTCTGATGCTACTTGTTGGCGACTGAACTTCATTCTCTTACACCGGCTTTATTAGTAATATATATTTATACAATAACAGCCTGAACACGCAGTCACTTTTTAAATCGGAGCGCAGATTCACCGCCTCTCAAGTTGTCTTTTATTTAGGTCTGCAAGGCTACGTTTCTAGTTGGTTTCAACTCTTTATTTTAGTTGAAAATGAACACTTTAGCCGCTTTCACACCAAGTACTTTGCCGTACTTAGTTCCCAGCACTTAGTTCCCAGCACTTAGTTCCCAGCACTTAGTTCCCAGCACTTAGTACCCAGCACTTAGTTCCCCCATGGAACTAAAGAGCAGATCGCGTTCACACCGGAACAAGTTCCCTGAGGGAAGATTACGCAAATGAAGCCGCTGACGTCACTTCTTCTTCTTCTGCTTTGGGTTTACTGGCAGGCCGCAAACAACTTCACGGCGTATACTGCCACCCGAAGTCCCCGGAGTTGGGGAAGGCTTCAGTAGAAGCTGCTGGGACTCCCAGCAGCTTCTACTGAAGCCTTCCGAGTAAATCGCCAGAACGCCGACACCTCCTCATCTCCACCGCTCCCATGTTTTCTTTTGTGTTGCCATAAGTTATTCTCTCTCCGTTTGTGCGCGGGGCTAATGCTAATGCTAATAATGCTAATGCCAGCAAATACAATGGCGGCTTCACAAAACCTTTCAGAGTTATACGGGGCGTGGTTTGCAATCCGCCCAGCCAATCAGAAATTGGAACTCTTTTCTCCCCAGGAAAGTCCCACCTCTCTAGCAGGGACTAAAAAGGGGGGAAAAGTTCTCATGAACTAAGTTCTCTTTTTGGTGTGAACGCAAAATCCCAGGAACTATCGGAACTAAACGGGAAAAGTACTCCGGTGTGAAAGCGCCTTTTGACCCTCTGTATCTTGATTCTTTGTTCACTTATGCTGTTTCTCTGCTTTTCAAACTCAAACTAAAAACAGAAGTGCTATAGAATATGTATTTCACTCGTTTACAGCTCAGGTTAGCATTAGCATCATGATATCATTAGATAGGAATCGGTGTTTTTTGGCTTATTATTGATGTAAATATTGCTGGAAATACACAGAGATACAGTTGTGGTCAAAAGTTCACATACACTTGTAAAGAAGGGACATGTTACCAACTGTTATCATTGCTGTATGTATATTTTTGACCCAGCAGACCCTAAGTAGTATGTGCTCTAATCACTCCATCACAGAAAAATAAGAGTTGTAGAAGTTATTGAAAAGTCATGAAATCCATGTTCTTTACAAGTGTATGTAAACTTTTGACCACAACTGTATATAAGGGGTTGCTACCCTGTTAGACAATGCATAGCTATATCAAACTTCTGTCATTAACACAACATATCAGCACCAAGTCGTGAAGCGTATCTGGAGTTCCCACAGTTTAGATATCAGTGCATTCACCTTAAAGGATGACCGATAAATGAGGACAGTAAATGCGTTTTAATCCGTCCACCTCTCTGCTTCCTGTGTGTTCTTTGCATCGTGTGTGTGTGTGTGTGTGTGATGTTGCTTTGCTCTCCGGCGTCACACTGATATCCTCTCTGAGTGTTGTATTCTTCTCTCTGTCTCTAACAGTCTCCCAGAGTGAAGGAGGGCTCGCAGAACTCGGAGGTGAGTTTTTAAAAGTTATTTCTTTACAGCAGCAGCAGCAGCGTGGTTTCTACACAATTACTTTATTCTTAGTTATCTGTCTTTCATGTGTCATTCATATAATGTCAGTAGTGCAGGTTAAGTATATATATTCTTATGTATATGTTATAACTTGCTTTATATTTTTGGTTATTGTTAATTTGTAAATTCAACATGTATATTTTCTACTTTCTCGTTTTTATCTAGTCTTTTTTCATTTTTATAATAATATATAATTAATATGTATTGTACAATGCCATGTCTTTTTATGCTGCAACACAAACATGTCCCAAATTGGGATCAATACAGTACTATCTTATCTCTTATCTTATCTTAAGTGAAGCAGCGATTAAAGTGTAACTCACATTGCTGAAAGAAAGGCAGGTTTTCCTATAAATTAAATCATTGTTGATCCTAAACATCTTGGTTTCTTCTTTTCTTTTTTGGAATATATTTTGTAAAACAATTACACAGTGTTTTTTTAAGACGTAGTAACTGTACATCTTAAGTTTGTCTGTCCGAAATGCCTTAAAATAAAAACAGTAAAAAGTACGAACATTAGGGAGTGATCAGGACTTCACAGTAACATTTGTAGAAATAAAATCTGACCTATGAGGTTTCACGAAATCAGTCCACTTTCTCCATCTGTCAATCACAAATAGTTCCAGTTTGTGATTGACAGATGGGTTTCTTCTTTTCTAAGGTAATAAAACGTCTTATTGATATCCATCTTCTCTTTAATACATTTCTCCAGCAGTCCTTCCAGACTCCAGAGCCGTTAAGCAGTCTGCCCCCCCCGCTAACCCCAGGTCAGGCAGATCTACCTCAGGCTGCTCCACTGCAGCCCCCCACCCAGGCTACGTCTCCCACCACTGCTTCTCTCTCACAGGTGAGCCCCCCCCCTGACACTCCTGTGGGAGGGTTCATTATGTTTCATTCTGCTCTAAAGCCTGTATCTGTGTGTGTTGACAGGTGCCAGCCGCCTCAGGAGGCGTCAACTCTCCCATTAGTTTGGTATTAAGGTTAAGGTGAGTTTTCCTATTGTTGCATACAATAAGAGGATACATAAGAGGATAGGGGCCAACATTTTCTGGGAAATCTGACAGTTTTTTCTGGGAATTCCGAATCTTTGTCCTGGGAATTCTGACTTTTTGTTCTGGGAATTCTGACTTTTTGTTCTGGGAATTCTGACTTTTCCCCCTGGGAATTCTGATTATTTTTGTCCTGGGAATTCTGACTTTTTGTCCTGGGAATTCTGACTTTTTGTTCTGGGAATTCTGACTTTACTAAGAATTCAGATTTTTTTTTCTCAGAACTAAAGTACTTTTGATGAGGCCCTAATCCTTTTCTGTAAATATGTCTCAACAGGTTTTATCAACCAATATATGATCTGCTTTGCTCCTCTAATCATCTCTTTCCTCTCCTCAGGAATTCAAAGAAGGAGCTAAATGACATTCGCTTTGAGTTCATGCCAGGCAGAGGTGAGTGAAGTTTCTGTCTTCATGATATTAAATCCCAACCTGTGTCACAGAGTAGTTAAAGAATGTCTTTAGGGTCACACTTCTTGGCGGCGGACGCCTCATTTTGGGTAATAATCAGTGAGCTAAACGGAAAATAAGAAAGTGTACGAAGGCCTTGAAAATCAATATTTATCAGCCCTGAGAACAAAACGCTGACACACAGCTGTTTGTGTCTAAAGGATTGAATTGTATTTGACCTAAAACCTTAAGAGAAGAAAGCTACTTTAACAATCAGGAACCAGAGGAAGTGTTTAAACCACATATATCCTGTTTTTCCTCCTCTCTCAGACACAGCAGACGGTGTTTCCCAGGAGCTGGTGTCCGCAGGCCTGGTGGACGGGAGGGACTTAGTAATAGGTCAGTGATTTGTATTAAATACACCACAGCAACATTTCCCCAACCTCACATTGTCTCATATTTCTGTTTGTCTTCTTTCCAGTTGCTGCCAATTTGCAGAAAATAGTTGACGAACCTCAAGCCAATAAAAATGTCACTTTCAAACTGGTGAGTGCTGCACCTTCATCTCAAAGTGTTGTTCAAACATAGCAAACATACCTGTGAAAACCCACAGAAGCACAGCCACATTATTGAAGGGAAGTAATGGATCAACTCAAAGTGGAAAATTAATGTTTAGAGAAAATATGGAAGACGTTTCTGAATGAAATACCTATTAAATTGTAATATGTTAACAGATACAAGATTATTTTAAAGTGTAAGTAATGTCCCTGGTTTCCCCCGTACTGTATGTGTGATTAAATCAAACTGAATATCTTAAGAAGTGCAGTTTTTATTTTATCTTCATCGTTACCAGGATAGCCGTTAGCATTAGCATGTGCATTTGGTGTTGTTACACCCCACAAACATCAACAAACAAACACATTTTTTAGCATCTAGCGACTTCCTCCTTCTCTTCAGTCGATTTCTCCCATTTTCTCTCCACAGGCGTCTGGAACCGAGGGATCTGAACTCCCGGACGATGTCAAACTGATGGGCTTCGCTCAGCTCAGCATCAGCTAAACTGTCGAACTACCTGGGACCGTGACTTGCCTAAAAAATGTGAAAATAAAAAATAAAATAGTTATAAATGCATTTTTTTTTTTCTTTCTATGGCTGTATAAAGAAACCACTACTGCCAAAGAAAACGGAAGCGTTAGGTCGCCCGTAGGAAACATTCAACGCTGCCTCGATAACGTGGTCGGCTGACGCATCACTGACAAAAGTTTACATGTAGAAGGATGCAAGTATCTACACCTCATCCGTTTATATTTCTCCAATATGTGATGCATTTGCACAATCTGAATAACGCCCTGATAAGTGTAACAATGCCTTATATTCATCAGAACTACTGAATGCACGTTTTAAGGGGGGGGGGGGGTCCCCAGTTACCATGTGGAGCAATATGTTGTCGCAAAATGTGGTTTCAGCTGTCTAACTTTTTACGCCATTTTGATTAAACCAACTAAATACAAGGACAACTCAACAAATGTGATGTTAAATATTATTTTCAGCACTTCCAAAAGTTATATTTAAAGGATAAGGCTAGTTTTGTGGTCTGTAGTGGTCTCGAATGTTCATGATTTCTTTTTTAAATTAATTTCCTGACATATCTGGGCATTGTAGTCGTCATCAAAAGTTACTCAAACACAATTTAGGGACTATTTTCCGCTGCGGATGTACACACATTTGGTGCTCTACTTGAGTATTTAGACACATTGACAGGAGGATCTCACCCAGGGAAAAATGTAGCACAATTTGGTCAACAATAAGTACAAAATATAGTGAATTTTGCCCGTTTTTTTCGCTATCAAGCATTAATACAACAAGCATTAAGAGGTATAAGTCTTCTCTTGACAACTTAATTAGATTGTCCAGTTCTTCAAATGAATAGAAACTTCAAATATACCAAATTACAAAACGTATATGAATAGGGAAAAGTAGATAACATTGACTTCTGTCTTCTTCCAAATTTGCCTCCACTCCTTTACCACAGGTTTGATGTCTTTTTGTAAATTAGATTATATATTGAAATAAGTGAAAAAGTTCTATGACAGCTGGAACCACCAGTGTTTGAGTGTGTCTGTCTGGAAATGGTTTCTCAAATTCGTTTAAAAAGGTGCATTTTAGTTCATGTGGATGAAACATACTTGATTTAACCTCTAGTCTGTACATAATGACATTGGGCTTTGTTTGTTTTTATACTGGGTGTTTCACTCTGGGCCTTTTCTTTCTGTCCTCTGACACGAGTGTGGGTTGTAGCGCTGCGTTTAGGAAGAAGACTGCACTGCAGATCTGGCTTTGAGTTCATTTTGTCATTTTTTTCCCTTTTTAAATCACTTTCTGCCTTTTCGGGAAGTTAGAATATATTTTACAGTCAAGCCTCAGCTGTGTTGATGCACTGGTCATCTTAAATTCCCCAAATGATTTGACTGAGAACCAGCAAATATGTTACAGCTTCTTTATCACTTGTTTATCATTTTTAAATGAGGTTTTGTTCATCTCACTCTGAGAACTGAGGTTACACAAGTAACCTAAAGTTTTGATTGCTATGAGTTTGGGATATGTTATCTGTTATCACAACCTTCACTCTGGATGTTTTTGTGCATTACTGAAATGGGTTAATAATCGATGTGCATCTGGCAGTTGATGGCACTACTGTAATGTCTCAGTCTGACATGTAAGCAAGGTTTATATTTGTTGATGTGGAAGTGTAATACCCTCCAGATGCCATATTGAATGCAAATTGATGATTTTTTTTTGCTTGCAGATAAAATGTCACGAGGAAATCTTTGTGTTTGGACATGTTACCTTGCTTATAGCATTATCTAAATACGATCGTTTTCGGATTGTCAGTATCTTTGAACTGTGTGTGTGTGTGTGTGTGTGTGTGTGTGTGTGTGTGTGTGTGTGTGTGTGTGTGTGTGTGTGTGTGTGTGTGTGTGTGTGTGTGTGTGTGTGTGTGTGTGTGTGTGTGTGTGTGTGTGTGTGTGTGTGTGTGTGTGTGTGTGTGTGTGTGTGTGTGTGTGTGTGTGTGTGTGTGTGTGTGTGTGTGTGTGTGTGTGTGTGTGTGTGTGTGTGTGTGTGTGTGTGTGTGTGTGTGTGTGTGTGTGTGTGTGTGTGGTCCTCCTGCTTCTGATGGAGTTGAAGATCCATTGGCTTTGTTCTCTCCTGTCCGCTCACATGTAGTCTAACCAAGCTGTAGCAACTGAAGAAGGGCAGTAACTCATGTAGGCTGTAAAATATTTCTGATTTCTGCCCGTCCTGTTTTTTTTTTTTCATTCTTTCTCATTTGCTCTTCTGTTGATCGTTTGGGAGTTCAAAGCATGTTTCCCTGGATTATTTTTAATCAATAAAGAATGAGCATCAGCCTGATCCTGGCATATTCTGATTTTATTTATCACATGACATTTGTACTAAGCTTTTCCTTAAAAATAAAATGAATAATACAGAGAGAATCAACAACACTGATCTGACTCCAGAACAACATGAGGTAAGTTGCTATTCTGACTAAGTTTATTGGTGGTTTTCACTTTCCTGGTGTTTTATCACAACAGAGCCGGCTAGCTAACCAATCAGAGCAGCCTGGGCTCTGGTTTCAGACAGAGGGTGAAAAGAGGTGCTGCAGCACAGACAGTATGAGAAAAATAAAGAGCTTTTTGAACATTAAAGCATGGAGACATGTCCCAGTAGAGACACTACATACTGATATACACCTGAACATCATCAGGATAGGACTCTTTAAAGTAGAGACACTACATACTGATATACACCTGAACATCAGCAGGAGAGGACTCTTTAAAGTAGAGACACTACATACTGATATACACCTGAACATCAGCAGGAGAGGACTCTTTAAAGTAGACACACTACATACTGATATACACCTGAACATCAGCAGGAGAGGACTCTTTAAAGTAGAGACACTACATACTGATATACACCTGAACATCAGCAGGAGAGGACTCTTTAAAGTAGAGACACTACATACTGATATACACCTGAACATCAGCAGGAGAGGACTCTTTAAAGTAGAGACACTACATACTGATATACACCTGAACATCAGCAGGAGAGGACTCTTTAAAGTAGAGACACTACATACTGATATACACCTGAACATCAGCAGGAGGACTCTTTAAAGTAGAGACACTACATACTGATATACACCTGAACATCAGCAGGAGAGGACTCTTTAAAGTAGAGACACTACATACTGATATACACCTGAACATCAGCAGGAGAGGACTCTTTAAAGTAGAGACACTACATACTGATATACACCTGAACATCAGCAGGAGAGGACTCTTTAAAGTAGATACACTACATACAGTACTGATATACACCTGAACATCAGCAGGAGAGGACTCTTTAAAGTAGATACACTACTGTTGTGGAGATCCAGCATAACACAACAGGAAAGAATGAAACAGAGAGGAATCAATAAAACACAAACACAGATATAGCTGATAAGTAATTATTATTTAGTTGTTGCAACAAACAAACAATAATGGGAAGTACATCACCTGCTGCCACAGCAGCCAATCGCGGAAATGCCCCTCAGAACAGAAGAAACACAGGGCTAGATATACTTTTCTAAATGTCACACGAACATGTTCCCCAAACATGTTTAACGCACACACATTTTATCATGCAGCCTACCACACAAATGTCACATGTGTTTCTCTCTGAAAGCTATACCTGTATATGTTTAAACGTCATCATCTCATGATATCTTTAGGATTAGTTAACTAACAAAGGTTAACTGTTTTTATAACCTGAGGCCTTCTCTGCACTTCCTATACTCTCGGTGTCAGCTCACTTAAAATGAATACATCTATTGATAATTCAGAACGACCATTGTCTCTCTAACTGTGTGTGACCCAACTCAGTAACACACATCATATGGAATACCATGTGATCATTAATGAATATCAGAAATACGCTGTATTAAACATTCTGCCATAACACTACATACTGATATACACCTGAACATCAGCAGGAGAGGCCTCTTTAAAGTAGAGACACTACATACTGATATACACCTGAACATCAGCAGGAGAGGACTCTTTAAAGTAGAGACACTACATACTGATATACACCTGAACATCAACAGGAGAGAACTCTTTAAAGTAGAGACCACTACACACTGATATACACCTGAACATCAGCAGGAGAGGACTCTTTAAAGTAGAGACACTACATACTGATATACACCTGAACATCAGCAGGAGAGGACTCTTTAAAGTAGAGACACTACATACTGATATACACCTGAACATCAGCAGGAGAGGACTCTTTAAAGTAGAGACACTACATACGGATATACACCTGAACATCAACAGGAGAGAACTCTTTAAAGTAGAGACACTACATACTGATATACACCTGAACATCAGCAGGAGAGGACTCTTTAAAGTAGAGACACTACATACTGATATACACCTGAACATCAGCAGGAGAGGACTCTTTAAAGTAGAGACACTACATACTGATATACACCTGAACATCAACAGGAGAGAACTCTTTAAAGTAGAGACACTACATACTGATATACACCTGAACATCAGCAGGAGAGGACTCTTTAAAGTAGAGACACTACATACTGATATACACCTGAACATCAGCAGGAGAGGACTCTTTAAAGTAGAGACACTACATACTGATATACACCTGAACATCAGCAGGAGAGGACTCTTTAAAGTAGAGACACTACATACTGATATACACCTGAACATCAGCAGGAGAGGACTCTTTAAAGTAGAGACACTACATACTGATATACACCTGAACATCAGCAGGAGAGGACTCTTTAAAGTAGAGACACTAAATACTGATATGAACCTGAAAATGTGCAGAATAGGCCTCTAAGGTATATATTTTTCACTTTTGACCTCTGCCCTGTCTATCTTTGTGCACCTCCATGTTATCCGTCCTCACTATCTTTATGACTGCAATAATCTCTTTACTACACTTTCACCAGAGTGTATATCCTGCTATTTAAACATTAAAGGACCCTTTAGTATGCAAACTTGTGAAATATATCTTGATATTAAGTCCAAATATCAATCAGGCTTGAACACAGTACCCATAATGCATGTCAACAGCTTATCTTCATAATAAACCCTCTGTCTGGTTAATGTCTTTCACTCTCGATGCCCCAGTTTCTACTATCTGCTTTGTTGTTAGAAAAGTGTAGTGACCACACCCAATCGGAGATACAGTAGACTTTACAATGCTTTTTTTTAACAGGCAGATTTTCATAGGTTACACCCAGCAAAAAACACATTAAAATAATAAAAACATTTTCCAATTTCAGGCGTGTCAACTCCAAGTTGCTTAACGTCTCTCTCACTATCACATGCTTTAATCTGGACATCTGTTTTAATTGCGCTTAGTCACATTTTGCTTTCATGGACACACCAACTTCAAAGGTGCAAAAACTCTTTATTTTCAAACAGATGTATCAATGAAAACGTTCCAGTTGGGTCATTGCATTATCATAAATTGTGTGACCTGGTCCCTTTTTCTAGATGTGTTTTGGGAAGTCTTTCTATTGGCACCTTGGTGACACCATACATGAAAGATTTCAGGCTGCCCATTCTGTTGCCGTCTGGCAGACGTTACCGCAGCATCCTGGCAAGGACAAGAAGATTCGGAGACAGTTTCTTCCCGCGGGCAGTGAGACTGTTAAAAAATGTAACTGTTGAAACAACATCAAACATTCATCTGCTACTCAGTAGTATGTATCTAATACCTAATATATATATATTATTCCAATAACTTGTATATAGACTCATACTGCACTATTCCACATCATAACTTTATTTCATTTTTATAACTATTATTATTTTTGTATTGCTCATGCTCTTATTGTTATTATGTTATGTTATTATGTTGCATTGTTGGAGAAGCCTGTGACATAAGATTTTCAACTGCATAATTACTCTGTAGCTATGTCAGATTGACAATAAAGAACCTTGAACCTTTGAACCTTGAACTGTGACCAATCAGAGAGAGCAGCTGCTGGTTTGTAGATCAAAGACAGTTGCTGATAAGACTTTTCATGCAGACTTTGACTTTGCGGTTCTCTAAAGTCCAATATAATGAGATGCATTACAGCTGGACTTCAGCCTGAGAGAATGTAAACATTAACTCGCAGGACTACAGTCAAGTTCAGTGTTGGTGCATGGACGGACCTAAAAGCTGCTTTGACACATGCACATCTGGATACCAAAATGAGCAGCTTTGGGGAGATTCTCAAGGAGATCGGGGAGTTTGGTTTGTTTCAGAAACGTCTGGTGGCGGTGTTATGCATCCCCAGCCTGTTCACAGCTTTCGATGTGATTGGTCAGGTGTTTGTAGGACTGAACTTCCCACATCACTGCAACACCGACTGGATCCTGGAGCGAGGACCCAACCTGACGGAGGAACAACAAAGAAATCTCACCCTCCCACTGAACAAGGATGGAGGCTTTGAAAGCTGTGAGATGTTCACACCTGTGGATTTGGATTTGGAAACCATTATAGCGTACGGCATCAACAAGACTACAGGATGCATACATGGATCGGATTTTGAAGCACCTGAAGGGGCATCAAGCATTGTGACGGAGGTAAGAGATCATTTTATACATCAGTCAGAAATGTAATCATCGAAATTAAGTCATTCTTACTTCTTGCTGGGTTGCTTTTCTACTGTTGATAGTTGTGGCAGCTGTTGCAGATTTAGGTCTCATTTGAGCCACCAAACCATCATGCATTGTAACCTAGTTGTAGTCAATCCCCCAGAAAGAGTGCCGGCCAATGAAAAAATACTTTTTCACACATCTGTATATCAGCAGTTTGTTGATTTGAAAACCTGAAAACCTTTGGGATTTTCAGTTCTTGATCGTCTCAAATAACGACTGAGAAAAACTGAATTTGTTTGTTTTCTTTGGTCTTCTCCTCCTTTCTCCATCCTATCTGTCATCAGTTCAACATGATCTGTGACAGGAGTGGTTTGATTGCAGCGTCTCAGTCCATCTACATGGCCGGTCTCCTGGTTGGAGCGCTGGTGTTGGGGCCGATGTCTGACAGGTGCTCAATAACTCCATATTAATGATCCTGAACTGATTTAAATTGTGCTAAACTTATACGAGTGACAGATTAAGTGCATCTTCAACAGTGCTTCTCTTCTCTCCGTAGGTTTGGTCGCCGCTTCGTAGTCCTGCTTTCCATCTTTCTCCTCATGTTGTTTGGTGTCGGCATTAGTTTCTCACCCAACATCTATGTTTATATTGTTCTGAAATTCCTAGATGGCATCGCCGTTTCAGGCATTATTGTTAATTTATTTGTAATAGGTAGGTCTAATGTTCACGACTGAAGCTTCTGTCTGGGTCTATTTTACAGCTGATAACTGTCTGCTTCCTGCTTTGAAGGTGGAGAGTGGAGTGACTCTTCAAAGTTTGCTCTCTGCACCATCATCTGCCACTCGTCCTACTCTCTTGGACTGATGATGTTGTCGGGCATTGCCTATCTCATCCGTGATTGGAGGATCCTGCAGCTGGTGCTCTTCTGTCCTCTGGTCCTTGTCCTGGGAATCTTTTACTGGTCAGACGCCTCTCAGACACTTAAGATGCTAATCTCGATTTAAGCCCTAAGTGAACGCTCTATATCAGGGGTTTCCAAACTTAAAATATTCAAAGGGCTGGGCCACTCACTCGAGGTATATCGCCTCATAAGTTCAGTTATAAGTCAGCAAAATCAATCAAATGTAGGTAAATGATGCTTGTGAGTGTCCCTTAAAACAGAAGCTTCAGATTGATTATAATAAGGAGAAATAGGAAGGTTGTATTTCAAGGTTGTTATGTAAATAAGTCATTGGGCTTTTTTCTTATCGACTTAGATTTGTTAGAACATATTTTCAAATGTAATTGACTGAATTTATTGTAAATTGGGCTTATTAACACATGAATACTACTGTGTAATATATGTTTACAGATATATTTAACAAGTACAATACAAGAAAAGCTCAAGTTTCATTTGTGGGCCGTATTACATTATACTTTTTTAATTTGCTGAGGGCCGATTCAAAATGGTCCCCGGGCCGCTTTTGGCCCCCGGGCCGTAGTTTGGACACCCCTGCTCTATAGTATGTGATGGTGGACATGTTTGTCAATTAGGATTCTTCCAGAGTCCGCTCGATGGCTCATCACCCAGGGAAGGAAGGAGGAGGCTATCAAGGAGATCAGGAAGGCAGCAAAGGTGAACGGAAGGAAGGTCCCAGAAGATCTGCTGGACAAGGTGAGATGCGTCTCTGGCGAATACAATAAAGCTCTGCAATAAAAAGAAAACAAACTAAAACAGATTTTTTTTAGCTAGGTGTTGAGGGTCCGTCCAAAAGAGGAAGCATGTTGGACCTCTTCAGGATTTCCTATCTGAGAAGGCGTGCATTGATAATGAGCTACCTGTGGTGAGTATTCAATTCATCCTTAACCTGCTGCCACATCTACAGCCATTCCTCCCTGAAGATATCTCTTTCTTTTTAGGTTTGCAACAAGTCTGGTGTACTACGGACTGAGCCTGAATGTCGGGAACTTCGGTCTGAACATCTACCTCACACAGTTCATCTTCGGTTTAGTGGAGTTCCCTGCACGTTGGGGCAGTTTGGGCCTCATCCAGCGCTTTGGGAGGAAGAGATGTGAAGCAATCGTCCTGTTGTTTGCCGGCGCTGCTTGTCTAGGGATACTCACTATACCAAAAGGTACGTTTCTGAATAATTTATGGGAGTGTGTTGAAAGCCGCATTGGTGTATAATATACCAGATTGTCGAGAACCAGGTTAAATCCCATTTTTATCAAACATATCTCTTTGCTACACTCTTCTTGGTACACCCATCTTCTACCCTAATTACTTCAGTAACAAACTGCAACCTCCAGGTCTGAAAAGTGCCTTTAACCTGCATTCTCTCTAACAGCCAGCAGGGGGCGACTCCAGTCGGATTGTATAGAAGTCAATGAGAAAATTTCCCTACTTCACGCTTTATTACCTCAGTATGAATGTAGGTCTGATTTAAAGTAAAAAAACAGATAAAGCAGTGAATGATGTACGCCTTGGATACCTTATGATTCACAGGTGATTCAATGGCGTTGTCTGGCTTGGGTTTTAAAACAGTTTATGGAAGATAACATCGTAACATTGGTCTGGTATTTATGTGGCAGCTGGGTGGGGAAAACCTAACTGGGTGCATGTGTACAGTCTATGTTCGGTTATATAGCCCGTGTCTCTAATTCCTGCATTGTATCACCATTTGGCAAACCTCCTTATGTACACAGTGAAGCTGGCACACATGATTTAATTTGCATGCACAATGTGTCACAACTGTCTGATGTATGAATTGTCCATCAGATCTTCCCGTGGTGGCAACAGTGGTCGCAGTAGTGGGGAAGTTTGCCGCCACTACAAGTTTCTCTATCATCTATGTTTACACTGCAGAACTGTACCCTACCACTCTAAGGTAAGATACATATCCCTCAGGTACAATTCAAAAGACATGTTTGCTTTTGCTATAAGATCATTTTGTATCTATACTAGGCAGAATGGAGTAGGTCTGAACTCAATGTGTGCTCGTGTGGCGGGGATCCTCGCTCCACTCATCAGACTCCTGGAGGTCTATCATTGGACGATCCCCATGCTGATATACGGCATCGTCCCCATCACAGCTGGAGGTCTCTGCTTATTACTGCCTGAAACTCTCAATGTAGAACTCCAGGACCACCACGCTGAGATCAGGTGAGAAGATGATCCCTTTAAAGGTCACCTATTATGCAAAATCCTCTTCTTCATGTCTCTTCTACATCAACATGTGTCCCCTCTTCTTCATGTCTCTTCTTCATCAACATGTGTCCCCTCTGTAGAAAGAGACTCTGAAAGTTTCAGGAACAAAGATTCTCTCTCTTTTTGTCCTGATCCATTTCTATAAAAACCTGTCTGAAAATGAGCTGATCAGATTTTGGCTACTTTATGATGTCCTAACGATTTTTTTGGCTTGTGTAACCATTAGCCAATCACCAACCAAGGTAACCCCCCCCCCCACCTTATCACCTGAATCTCCTCCTAGAGCACCATTGTGTTCTTTTTAACCAAATATCTCTCAGAGGGGCGTGGGGAGTGGCTCAAAACAGTATAATAGGGGACCTTTAAAAGTGTTACACTCAAAGCAATTCTAGATAATAATCATCTTTCTGTTTTCAATTACAGACAACCGGAGAACATGACGGAAATACAAACCTTCACTAAAAAGGAGGAGAATTCAGGAAAAAGCACCAAAATGTAATTGATATGGATGTATCAGTTCCTTTTCTGACCTGTTGACCATTTATTTAAACATAATTGTATTATTTGTTGTTAGAAGTAAAAATGTTTTACAGAAGTTTGTAGACTGTTTGATAACTGGGACATTTATCAAGAATAAAGGGAAGCAAACGCAGCTATTGGTGACATCAACACACATGTCAGTGATCATAATATTATTTTTATGATTGAATATTATATATATTTACCGCACTCAAATTAAATCCCACATATTTTTATTATTTCCTCTTCATCCAAACTCTAAAGGTCCACTCAGATTGTCCTTAGTTATTATTGTGAAATCATCCACCGTATCTAACTGGGTAAACAATATATATGTGGATGAATAAATGATACTGTACTTTGACACTGTACACAGGTTAAGAGGTGAAGCTACATGCATTGTAACTGTCTGTGTGATTGCTCATTGTATTATTTTATTTATCCCAGCTTTAACAGGTGGTGTGTTTTCTTTGGGATATACATATACATATATCCAACACAATAACACACTTTTCTACGGAGCCCCATGGGGGACATGGTCAAAATGGTGGGTTACGTATTGTAACCCTAGTTCTATAAGCACAGGCTCCGCCCTCTACTGGACTCTATGGGTACTACTCTCATCAATGATACGCGAGCGTTCACACACTGAAGTTGTATAAACGTAGCCGGCCAATTAGGGCGAGCCTACCTGAATGCGCGCGCAGGCTCACAGTATATAAGGCAGCTTACGCCTCCTGACTGTCATCCTACACCCTCTTCAGCGAGCGGCATAGGAAAGACTGGGCTCCTAGGTAGAGGGCTCCGCCTGTGCTTATAGAACTAGGGTTACAATACGTAACCCACCGTTCTATCTCACACAGGCTCCGCCCTCTACTGGACTCGATGGATAAACGCCCTGTCGTCAGGACGACAGTCAGGAGGCGTAGCTGCCTTATATACTGTGAGCCTGCACGCGCATTCAGGTAGGCTCGCGCTGATTGGCCGGCTACGTTTATACAACTTCAGTGTGTGAACGCTCGCTGTAGAAAAGGCCCCAAAGTTATAGATATTGATATATATATATTATTTTATTATACAGAGTTTATACCTGTTAAATTGTGCCTTCATGGTGGGGAGGGGCTAACCCACGTGTTTTGGGTGATGTCATACATCAGAGGGTAATGTGCGTCAGTAGTTGCAGGAAAGTTATGCCGTCTTAACCTTCGTCTTGTGTGCGTAAATGAACGTGAGTGTTTGTCCACAGTGCTGCCTGTTATGTTGTTCTACACTTTATTATTATTGTGATAACTTCTGTGCCGATGTGGCTTAATGCAGAGTCTCCGTGCTCATGTGATCTGTGCATGCTGCGTGCATATTTATGATGGCTGCTCATTAAGTCACTCGTCAAGTGAGTCGGCACTCCTGTCTCAAAGTTAGGGGTATATACACCGTGTTGAGTGGCACAGACCTATTATTAATGTAATGGGATGTAGTTTATGTGGATAAATGTTTATGTGGCGTTAAAGGTGAGATATTATGTGTTTACAGTTCATTTATTGCTCCGCTACTCGGCTACCGGAAGTAGCATGTCTGTGGCGTTTCACAATAAGAGCATCGGCTGCCGCTTTCCGCCAACCGGAAGTAGAACGTTATTCATTAGCGGTAGCTTAACTTTGAATCTCTGCGTGTCCCTGGTAAAGAGTGTTTGACATTATATGTTAATGTGTTTATGATTATAAGAGAAGGGAGACATCTTGTATTATGTCTAGATTATTATTTCTATAGGGTTTGGCAATATTATGTATATTATGTATGTATGCATAAGTTATCTTATATTGATTGTATTTTGTTTATTTCCTTTATAGGAAAAACCACACACAGACAAATATCTGTATGTCTGCCTAAATAAGTAAAGAAGTCAAGCCTCATCTTAGCTCCTCATTTCCTCTATTCTGGACCTTTGGCCTTAAGTGGTGTTCTGGCCGACACACCTGGGTGAACCTAGTGATAGACACAAAACTAGTGCCAACACTGAGTTATCTCTAACTCTCCACTACATTGATGGTCCTTCGAGCCGGAATCACAAGGTTTACGTCAGAGATGGAACCATTACCAGGGTATGAGGCCTATGGTGCACGCCCTCGAAGGCAAACCCGCCTTCCAACGCGATATGCAGACTATGATGTGGATCATCTAGGATACATTAGTCAGAGATACCGACAGGAAGAAGAGACTTCTCCTCTGGAGGGTAAGGCCAGGATGACCCCCCTCACCTCCCCCAATGACTCTCCCCCACCAAGGCACCTCAACAGGCGTGATGCTAATTTCCAGGAGATGGACTTTAGCTATGGGGCTGGCAGCCAGCAGCTGTTTCCAGAGAGAGAGCCGAGGGATCGGTTTCGAGAATACTCTACTCACCTGCCTACATCGCTGCACCACAGACCTCCGCGTGAGGATGACAGAGTAGAGCTAGAGAATATTCGTCAAGAAAGGTTTCTACTTCAGCAGACACAGCGGCGTATGTCATCAGATATAGATGAGCTCAAAGCACTGCAAGCAGACATGAGACAGTTGGTGGATACTGTCCGTAACCTTAAGACCCCATCACTACATAGCAACAAGCCAGAGTTAACGGTGATGCAGCCACCGGCACCGTTTGTAGGCGAACCTGATAGTGAGGATGAGGATGATTGGCCTGCACCACCACCATGGCCTGACCCAGTAAGTGGAGAGTCACTGCCTGGCGACTATATAACGCCTCATCACCCCAACGGGAGACCAGATGAGCTTCCACCGAAGGAAGAAGAAGTTCCAGCTCCAGTGACTCAGCCGTCTGTGGGTCAGCAACATGTACAGCACTCAGCACATGGTGCCCTTCCTGCTACGCGGTCAAGGGAGAACTACGCTGATTATTCAACTCCCTGGTACCAGCCTGCTCAGCCGTCACCGTGACCACCCAGTTTGGCTCCAACTGAGCCCAAGTACCAAGTTTATGGTGGTCACAGGAGTGAGCATAGCAGTAACCCAGTTCCCCCACCGCAGCCTCATCCACATAGGTCATGGACACAGCCACTGCCCTCCAGACCTGCCCTCATATCAGAGCCAGGTTACCATGGACCACGCCCAACAATCCGCAACTTCTCAAGTCGAGACCCAAGTGAGTTTGCACGGCTCAAGATCTCCTTGGAGAACCTCCTACCGCCCAGTGCAACAGAGCTGTTCAAGTATCAGGTATTGGTGGATCACCTGCAACTAGAAGAAGCCAGGTTAATAGCAGACGCTTACCTCAACTCTCCAACGCCCTTCTCAGACACTATGGCTGCCCTGAACGATAAGTTTGGCCAACCACATCAGATAGCGCTGAAGCGTATTGCTGCTGTGATGGACTCACCGGACATTAAGCGGGGAGACGTTGCTGCCTTCGAGAAGTTTACTCTTCAGATCCAGTCATTAGTGGGAATGCTGAGAACCATAGGGTCCGAGGGAGAAGTGGAGCTACAGTGCGGTTCACATGTTGCTCGTCTGCTGAGTAAGCTGCCGCCTGAACAGAGAGCAGATTTCCGCCGCTGCATGTTCCGTCAGGGCTCAAGAACTCACAACCTTATAGATCTCGCAGAGTGGCTGAAATATGAGTCCTGGTGCCAGGACTCCGAAGGACAGTTAGCTGTGAAGGGATCGTGGGAGTCATCATCCAGACCTGAGGGACGGCAGGGCAAGCACCACACCACTGTGCTCCACGGGGCCAAGGACACTTGGAAGAAACCAGACTCTCAAGTTCCAGGTAACTCCTTCAAAGGGAACAAGAGTAAGCCATACTGTCCGTACTGTAATAATGAGGACCACTACCTCAGTCAGTGTACAGCAGTAACCAAGCTGAACAAAGAACAGCTGACAGCATGGATAAGAACCAATAAGAGGTGTTGGCGCTGTGCACGGCCGCACCAGGCAGCGCAGTGCAACTTAAAGAAGACATGTGGCCTCTGCCAAGGGAAACATCTCCAGGTGCTGCATGATGTGAACTTGAGGCTACCTAAGGAGACAGACTCAGCACCAACCTCGCAGAACCATGGCATGAGGGCCACGACTGAGGTACTGTACCTGGACAGACCCGCTGAAGGCAGTCAAATCCTTCTGAAAGTCGTCAAAGTTCGCATCCATTATAAGGATCGATTCATCAACACCTATGCCATACTGGATGACGGTTCGGAGAGAACTATGCTGCTGCCAGAGGCTGTAGAGAAGTTAGGTGTGCAAGGGACCCCAGAGGACTTGCCACTACGCACAATCAGACAGGATGTGCAGCCCTTCGCGGTGCATCAGTCTCCTTCTCCATTGCCTCTCCTGCTAAGCCGTAGACCTGGTTCAAGATTACAGGTGCTTTCACCACTGCTCACATTGGACTAGCAGATCATACCTACCCTTTGGAGCAACTCCGGGAGAAGTATAAGCACCTCATTGGCCTTCCTATCCGGACCCTCACAAATGCGAAGCCTCTGCTTCTCCTTGGAAGTGACCACCCACATCTCGTCACCCCCATTGAACCAGTCAGGTTAGGCCCAAAAGGAGGACCGGCTGCCATTCACACGAGGCTAGGCTGGACGCTGCAAGGCCCAGCCAGTGTTGTCTATCATCTCGCACAACCACAGCAGTGCCTTTTCACATCAGTATCACCACAAGTGAGCGAGCTGATGAAGCATGTCGAGATGTTGTGGCAGGTCGACACTCTTCCTTTCAGAAGCGAGAAACTAGTCACACGTTCGAGGGAGGACCAAGAGGCCATCGGTATCCTGGAGACCAAAACCATCAGAGTACAGGTTAACGACATACTCCGTTATGCCACCCCGCTGCTACGCCGGAAAGACATGCCACTCCTTCAAGCTACTAAAGAAGCCGTCATGCACAGTCTACGGAGTATAGAAAGGAGATTGGCCAAGAACCCTATGCAGGCTGAAGCCTACAAAGTGGAGATGGTAAAGCTGATCAAGGCAGGCTCTGTCATCAAGTGTGACCCTGAAGTACCAGTAGAGGAAGGTCGTGAGTCGTGGTACATTCCTCACCAAATGGTAAGCCATAATGGCAAGAACAGACTGGTGTTCAACTGCTCATTTCAGTATCGAGGGCAACATCTCAATGACTATCTGTTGCCTGGGCCGACCTTAGGAGCATCTCTCCTGGGAGTCCTGCTACGCTTCCGAGAGCATGCAGTAGCAATCAGTGGAGATATCAAGGGCATGTTCCACCAGGTTCGACTCCTCCCAGAAGATCGAGACCTGCTCAGATTTGTTTGGCGAGACAGCAGTCAAGATCCTCCTGCGGTGTACGAGTGGCAAGTGTTACCTTTTGGAACTACGTGTAGCCCCTGCTGTGCTACGTTTGCCCTTCAGCGCCACGTCATCGACCATAGTCAGCCAGATGAAGAGGTGAGGACCTCAGTCGAGAAGTGCTTTTATGTAGACAACTGCCTACAGAGC